ATTTTGTGCTTGTGAACAATGCTTTCTCGTGTATGTTGCAGCGGTGATAGGGAAAAAGGAATATTTTCAGGAACTTTATCTTGAAGTGTATTACAGTTGTTCACAGGACTTCGAACCATGCATTTGCTGCTTCTCACTAGAAGCAGGCTTTAACTCTATAGCTTTTTCTACAACTTTAAAGAGCTGTGGTGTGATGCAGTCCATCTATTGTCCAGATTCAAGTCCTATCCCTCGAAACGTCTGTCAGCATTTGCAGGCTGGCATAGCGTTTGATCGAGTGGACATGGCAAATAAAGATAAGCCCTTCTCACATTAGTGTTATTAAACAGGGGCCTAATTTGCCACCAAACCTGAGTTGCACGAAATTTTTTATCATTTGTCGACAGATCTATAAAAACTGCAAATGGTGCTCTGATAGCCATGCGAAACTCGCGTTCCACGTCACAGTGAGCACCCCCGTTGCCACGCTGCATTACTGGCTGTTATCAATAAACGGGCTGCGAACAGAATCATGTCATGTGCCGCCTCTCACACGGTCGGGACTGTATCAGGATGACGTGCCTGGTGACGAGGCGCCGGTCGGTGGCTTTATCAGTCATGTGTCTCCAGTCAGGGACCGTCCCTGTGGTTGTTTTACATCGGGCTGAAATTCGGTGTTTCGTAGCTGCGGCGGAGGTCAAGTGACCACGGCAAGGATTCCGTTGGTTTTTTTCTTTCTGGACATCTCCTCCATGTATTTGGTGACTTAAGTAGGCATTGCGGTAAACAACTTTGTTGTACCAGTGGTGAAAGATCCATATAAATGCCATTAATCAAAGCGGCGGTTTCATTCAGATTGGTGGTAAATGTCCGTTTGGTTATTCTAAGTACATTTTGTAGACTGGTAAATCCGAAGCCATTGTTTACACTCCACGAAACTGCGAGCACCAAGAATATTCGGCAGCGACACAGCCAGCACGTTACAGGGGTGTAACCTTTTGTGAATGGCAGGAAGTTGGGGCCGAGCTTAGGGCCCGATGACCTAACTCCCCTATTTTTCTCAATGTATCTAGCCCACTTTGACACTTTATCTTGACCAAACGCCACCAGCAATACTACTTGCACGTGATATTGCCACGTCATGGCAGTTGCATACCCCGCATCGGACATGGTCCGTGGCAGGGATGGCCGCACGCAGCCGCATTGACATTTGCAACATCAAATCAAAATCTCGTGGGCCCAACTCAAAGCCTGTCACTTTTACCGCGGTTAGTCGCCGATGTGACGCGTAGGCCGGCCGTTAGCTCTGCGTTGTGAGTGGGTGATTTGATCACAAATGGCTCTGTCTGACAACGAAAAATTTACATTGCCGGCCAAGCATTTTACCCCAATAACATCGTTACCGTCAGGCTGCACGTTCCGTGCACAAATAAATGTGTTTCAAATTGAACGCAGTATTTTTGCAAATCACCGCTCCGGCGTGCAATGAGGCATTGTGTGATACGCTGTCAGGGAGTTGACCTGCAACAGGTCAGCGACCTTGCATAGGACATCTAATTTTTTGGGCCGAAAGATCCGCTGTTCAATTGCCTATAGCTGTGCGAAGTCTGGTGCGACTGCATCGTGTTCGGATATTATTTTGTAAATACCATCAGGGGGAGGGACAACCATGATTGCGGACATCGTGAATGAATCACGCTTTTCTGCGTATGTGTGAACATAATCAACGAAAGGATAAGGCGAGGTATATGCGTAAACGTTAGACCTGTGCAGCCGTGAAGTATTTGTTTTTGTTGTTGAGTTTGTGCAATGGTACAAGGGAAGACATCGGCGCTGAACTAAAGAATACATCACGTTACCCCAGTGTGATCTTCGCCTTTCATCCTATGTGAAACGTGGACCGAGCTTCGGTCGCGACCGTCGCTCCTTGTACTGCCAAGCCAGGATCGCGACAGGGGTGCGTCGTATACCGCGTTAGGGCTGGACCACGGCACATGCGTAAGAATCTGCGTGGTCGTGTATTGTCCGACTAATTTGACAATGCGAGCGACTGAACGACGCCACGCGAGGGCCGCGCTCCCGCCCGGCCCCACGACATTAGTACTGCAACTGAAACTCTTGACGACGAGAGTGCTACCATATGACCTACTGTCAGTACGCGGCATTAGTGCCAGGTGACAAAACTCACGCCGCGAAAACTTATGCTCGTCATCACTTCTACTGTGAACGCTTACACATTTATCTACGTCGAGTGGTGACCGTGATACGGCGGCCCGGGAGAAAACCTCGTAGTGAAACCACAAGATTGCGACTGTGCGCGTCCCATAGCTCTGATGTAAAGCTATCAGCTGTGCGCACAACACATTCGTCAGATTTTGGTTTGCCATTGCATTCGGCCTACCCCTACAGCGTATCACACAGTAGTCACTGATTGGCTTGAGCAAGGATATGCGCATACACGGCATCCAATTTGAAATACGTTTATTTGTGCTCGTAAGGTGTAATGTTGCAGTAATGATGTTGCTGTGGGAACGCTATCGGCCTGACAGGCAATTCTTGCATCGGCACACGTGACCTTTTTCATTCAAATCCCACCTTGACAGTGCGCAGCCAACGGGGGCGGGCTGCGCGCAGTGTGAAGGTCATGATTCCACGGCCAAGGGCCATGATTCCACGGCCACAGCTTGTCATCAAACCTACATATTGCAGCTGTGTGCATGTGATCGCATTTGTAGAGGGCTGTCAGGGTTATAGGTAGAGGGCTATATACTGCTAGTACAGCGCGTGCGCAAATGTTGGTTTGGGTTATATTTGGTCGGCCTTCCGACAGAGTATCACGTAATGCTGGCGGGCCGGTTGGAGCGGTGGTTTGCACAGATGTGGCGTCCATTTTGGAAAGGTTTTGGGTGTGTAATGAGGGTGCAGCCTTGCACCAGCGATTTTGGGGGGAACATTATCAGGCGTCAATGGAAGTGTTGCATCTGAAGAAATTACCTTTTGTATTGAAGCCATTGTATTGTGTTGCCACACTCGTCACAGTTTTCTTTGGATTTTGTTTATTTGATCCCCGTTGATATCCCCAATGATGAAGGCCTAGCTGGAGTAGTGAGCTTTCCCCACTGGACGACATTAATGTCTTTGAATCACCTTTAGTAAACAAACATTGTTAACTCTACGCTGCCGTTACAGAGTAGAGTTAACGGCAGCCGGCCATCAGGTGATTACGTGTGACCAAGAATGCGCTTCTATGCATTCAATAACACTGGTATAGGGCTACGAGCTGCCTTTTAAAAAAAATCGCTAGGTTTTGGTTTCGATTTTTCTGTCGACCCGTGAACTGCGTATCAATGAATGCTGACGGACCGGCTGGAGCGGTGATTTGCACAGACATGGCGTCCATTTTGAATTCCTTAACATGCGCACGAAACGCACAATCCTACGCTAACAATGCTTTTATTGGAACACTATCGGCCAGCAGCAAAAAGTCCACATCGGCAGAATAGTCCTTTTTGAACAAATCATACAATATAGCGCGGAAATTACGGAGGCCGGCCAACACGTACAGGGTGATTGTCATAATATGACGGTCCGGGAAAATACTTATAACCAAACTCCAAGATTGCAACCGTGTTCATTCTAAAGGACTGGTATAGGGCTATCAGCCGCTACCGCAACACACTCATAACATTTTGCTTTCTGTTTTATACGGTCGACCCCGACAGCGTATCTCGGAATGCCAGCTGGACGGCTTGTGCGGTAATTTACAAAGATATGGCGTCCGATTTGAAATACTTTTACTTGTGCCACGTTACGGTAACGATGTTATTGTGGCAGCACTATCAGCAGCCCATGTAAATCTCGCATCGGTGGATATGACCTTTGTCATTCAAATCCCTACTGCGCAGCGCAGAGCGTTCGGCGGCCGGCAAGCACGTAGAGTGAAAGCCGCGCTGCGACGGACCGGGAAATTTGCTTATCATCGAATCCGATGATTACGACCGTGTCCGCCCGATGGGATTGGGTAAACGCTGCGAGCGACCCGCCAGCAGAGAAATACTCAGTCGGTGGCTCGACCGACAAGTGGAAACCAGAATCTGTCGAGTGTGCTGTACAGGCACTTGATAGCTCTAGACCAGGCCTTGTGTTTCGAGATTTTATGACCGGATCAGCAATGTCAAAACGCCAATCGCTGACCGTGGTCAACAGCCACCAGAGGGGGTCTTAACGGTGAACACGAGGGAGTTCAGAACAGCACAGGAGGGTGGGGTAATCAAACATTTAGATGGGCGTTTGACCACCTGACCTTCCAGGAGCAGGCAAAGTGACGTCCGGGATGATAACGTCCATCGTATAACAGCACCCAGCACCACCATTCTGCTTCCGTTGAGCTCATGGCTACCGCTCTTCCGACACGTTTTCGATGCGGCCAAACTTCGTAAACAATTTGCGGATGGTGGTATGCTGGTGACCCGAGGTTGGATGCTACTTGTGATATATTCCAGCTATACCGAGCTCCCCGTACAGCTGACCCCGTCGGTAAATTTACTGGAAATATATCCGACTTCGGATATTCAGGGTCATGTATGGTCGCATAATTAGCATTCTCCCTGCATCAGCACGGGTCCGGGAATCAAATCGAGTCCCGAGAAGAATCGGTAGGTCTCAGGGTGGGTCAGAATTTCAGCTTTGTTAATAGCGTACCCCAAAGTCCAGACTCTTGACATAACCTATGACACTAAGGGACCAAGCGACGCGTTCAAACCACACGCACCACCATTGGACTCTGGTCAAACCTGGCCAGATATCACCATACAGTTGCGTGTTCTGCATACCATGCCTGACTGCCCTGTAACCTGTGCACACCTGTAAATCTCCATCTGCAGCGTGGTGCCTCGAAGTCCATTGTGAGTCTCGACGTGTTATCGTATAATGAGCACAATGCTGGAAGGGCATGCTGCTGTCACGTAATGCTAGTTCGGTCCAGGTCGTCTCTGCGATTCGGGACAATTAACTCGTCGATCCTTCAAACGGTCGATGTTTATTGTCCCCTGTAAATCGGTACATATTTGTGTATCTCTGTATGATACACAGGTAAATGAACGTTGCCTACATACCCAGCAAGTTATTGAATGCAAACCACGACTTAAAAAAACGATCGCGTCAAGATTGGCATAGCATCACGTCATGATGCTGCTTCGTAATATCCACACAAAGATCACTCACTTAAAAAAGTTATGCCAAGGAAAACAGTGGTAGAGCTGTAGACATGTAAACACCACCTACCTCCCAAACACCCTGGTCCAGCTCATCCCAAGTTCACTTCGACTATTCCCCTATGCCTACGGCGATGAGGTGAGAAAAGACATGAGAAACAGAAAAAAGGTGCGAAAGTTGTCAGGTACAGGTCCATCCGAAGATTAAGTACTCCATCCTTAGTACGTTGGCAACTGGACAAGGACGACTTGAACAACTCGCCGCACAGAAGAACAGTGAGGACTGAGGAAAATCCCATCGAAAGTAAAACAACAACCGTCACAGGTGAGCCCAGCCACAGCCTCGATGGCCACTATGGCAGTGTTCCCATCAACTATCACCTCTATTGCCACGAGCGCACTGGTCCCGACGGCGCAACAGCTGTCACTGGGACACAGCCCCGCGATCCGAACATCTGAGGCAGAATGTTGAGTCAGGACGCTGGTGTCAAAGCGGCCTTCACATGAGAAGAATGTTTTGACTTCTCGCAACTTTCAGCAACCACAGAAGCCAGCGGCCTTCAGTAACAGCCTTCACGTAATCATTGCTTCACCGAGCCATCAACGAGTCAAGAAAACAGCCTCGCCAGGCTAAGCCGCCGTCGCCAATATAGCCGGAGGAGGCTCTGAACACGATGGCCAACGCAACCGTCGCCGGGCCCGCGCACAACTGTGACGAATTCCAACGGCTAAGCCACACGACAAGACCGCTCAGCTGACACGCGGTAAGGCCGCTCAGCTGGCGTGACCTCCGACGTGACACCTAGTCGGCGGCGCTGTAGTCGCCCTGCAGGCGCCGGTTCTGCGGATCGAACGGCGGCTTCAGGTGCAGCTCTGCCTGCACGCGGCTGCCCATGACGTCCAGGGCCCAGCTGCCCTCGCGCAGGAAAGCGTTGGTCACCTTCTCGCCGGCCGGGTGTCGGACGTAGCCGTACGCCACCATCTTGTCCAGCGCGAAGGCGTGCTCGGCGCGCCGCACCATACCCACCACCTGGTCGTCGAGCAGTATGGCCTCCAGGCCCCACATGGGCACCGGCTCGCGCGCCGTCAGCGTCACCAGCTTGCGGTGCACGCCCTCCGCCTTCTGGCGCTCGACGGCCGCGCGGCCCTCGAACTCCTGCGCCGTCTTCAGCTTGCAGGTGAAGAGCATGCCGGCCTCCTGCGGCCGGTCGTCCGGTCGGATCTCGGCGTGCCAGTGCTTGTAGCCTGGCAACGAGACGCCAGCGGGTCAGGGGTAGCGCGGGGGGCACTGACCGACCTGCCACGACAGACGTGAACGTCCACGTGATCATTCGTCCGTTGTCCGCTGATTGGCGCTGTTGCGCGCTCTAAGCTGCGCTGAACGTTCTCGTCGCACACGCCAGAATGGCAAACTCGACCAGAGTCAGATGAGTCGGAGAATTTGTGTCGTCATGCATGACCCTGATGACGTCAGAAGAGGACACTGACACAAACACAAGAGAAATATACGCTACCAAACTAAAGCTACTGGTGTCCCGGCAGTTGGCCCAGCTCCCCGTTATGCATGCCTTTCATCGGCCCTGGCAGCGGAGTTCAGTGACCGGTCGGCCACGTACAGGCGCAGTGGCTAACCTTTCTCGGCACTCAGGCTGTCCATGGCCCTGTAGCCGGCGTCCACGAGGCCGCGCTGGGCGCCGGCCTCCTTCAGCAGACGGTACACGGCCAGCAGACTCTCAGACGGCACGTGCAGCTCCCAGCCTGCGGCACAGCGTCAGGTCAGGTTAAGTCAGGTCGCGTTTCGTATGCGGCAGCCAGACTCTCAGACGGCACGTGCAGCTCTCAGCCTGCAGCACAGCGTCAGGTCAGGTTAAGTCAGGTCGCGTTTCGTATGCGGCAGCCAGACTCTCAGACGGCACGTGCAGCTCCCAGCCTGCGGCACACCGTCAGGTCAGGTCAAGTCAGGTCGCGTTTCGTATGCGGCAGCCAGACTCTCGGGCGGCACGTGCAGCTCTCAGACTGCAGCACAGCGTCAGGTCAGGTTAAGTCAGGTCGCGTTTCGTGTGCGGCCACCAGACTCTCAGGCGGCACGTGCAGCTTCAGCTTGCACAGCGTCAGGTCAAGTCAGATCAAATCAGGTCACACTTCGCACGCGGCCAACTGACTCTCGGACAGCACATGCAGCTTCGGTCTGAACATCGTCTGGTTAGGTCAGGTCAGGTCACGCCTCATACAAGATCATCCCCCTCGAACGGCACGCACAGCTTGAAGCCTGTGCAGCTTAGATTACGTCAGGTCAGGTCAGGTCAGTTCGAGTGACGCCTCGCAGACAGTCGCCGGACCATCGGATGTCACATGCAGCCCTAGTCTGTACGGCGTCAGTGTCCGGGCCTCAGTGAGGCTCAGGTACGGTGTCGTCTCCCGTCGTGCTGATGCAAGAGCGCGCGGTGCGTCTGCACACTCCCGGAACAGTCTTGGTTATCTGAGGTCCGTGTCTTGGGAAGAAGAGAACCCATAGCAAATAACTACGCATTGATGACTTGGTATAGATGATGGACATGTGGCGGATATATATATATATATATATATATATATATATATATATATATATATATATATATATATATGATGGATATGATAGACACCAGCCGAGAAAGATGCACCGTTCAGCACAGAAGTAGCTCAGAAACAAACACATCAAAGATGGAGCATAGTATGTCAATAGGCCGTCATCAATAAGCAACCATAGGCCTCCACAGCCAACCACAATGATGGGAACATGACTTAGTTACAAGCACCTGAACATGGTCAATGGGGAGCAATGTGCATTAAACCTCACACGCCATTCCAAAGAAACAGAACTCCGCCACACTTCAGGGCTCATTAATTTCTAAAACACAGAGAAAGCGTTCAAATTAATAACACTAGCAATAACATAACAAATAGCATATCACGAGAAGCGATGAATTGAGCCGACACGAAGGTACTGCTGGACGGTACCGGAGTAGCTCACCGAGCTCGCCCACAAAGCTGAGCCTGAGAGCGCGGCACTTCATGCCTCCGACATCGATGACCTGGGTGGTCCCGAAGGGGAAGCTGGTGTTGCTCAGATCAGTCGGGGTCAAACTCTGCAGAATTTCTCGGCTGGGGAACGGAATAACATCGTCGTCCATCAAATGATAAGCAGATAAGGTACTGCATTTCGAAAATACTTTGCATTGGTGATCCTACCTACAGTCAGCAAGCATAAAGCGGTTGAAGTCTACGTGATACCTTCACGACAGACCTTGTAAACAAATGACGACCTTCACCAAAAGACAGTATGCGCAAGCCTCATTTCTCGTTAAAACACGCTAATGTGTCCTTGCAGCGTTTCGTTTCGAGTGGTTACAGGACAAACATTTCTGTATAGAAAGTCAAACAACATATGCAAACTAAATCGCAGCTTCTGGATGACGGGTTGCGTGGATAGAAGCCAACAGGGACAGACGTCAAAAAGAAAATTAAACAGCAGAAAGCAAGCGTGATGTAAGAAAACGAACAAGTGAGGGATTATGTGAAACAAACAAGAAGTCAAAAATGGCATGTTAACAGGAAAAAGTCAAACAGGTCAATACATTTCTTCGAATGGGTTCCGCTGTTCTGCTTATGGTTTAGATAGGTTCGGTTCTGCGATGTCTGTTGGTGAGGGTGGGGACCGGCACGGACTGGGCCAGTAAAGGCAGAGTCCCATCGGACCAGAGACAAAGGCAGCAGGAACAGGACCGAACTACACTGAACCGGGTTCGGCGGACTGAACGCAACAACACGGAACGAGAAAAAAATATCAAGAGCTGGAGCGGACCAGAGGCATTGACTGGCGGAACAGCGAGGGGACAGGGCAGGAGAGGACGGAAGGTTGCAGAACAGGAAGTGCGAAACATAATAGAACGGAACGGGACGCAGCGGAACGGAAGAGGACAGAATAGGCGGGACAGGGATGGGGCAGGGAAGGAGAGGACGGAAGGATGCAGAACAGAACGAGCGAAACATAGTAGAACGGAACGGAACGGAACGGAGCGGAACGGAACGGAACGGAAGACGACAGGATGGAACAGAATAGGATAGGAGAGGACAGAACAAGATAGGAGAGGGCAGAACAGAACGGAGCAGGATAAGACGAAACAGAAAAGGACACGGCAAGAAAGAACAGAGTTGAACAGGGTAGGGCAGGCCAGGGCAGGGCAGGGCAGGGCAAGGCAAGGCAGGGCGGGGCAGGGCATAAAAAACAGGGCAGGATAGAGCAGAAGGGAAACACCACCACTAACAGCTTGCAATGCAACAGAAAAAAGGTATGGCAGGGTTTCATGAGCCCCTACACCAAGGCAGGAATGAAAGCACTCTCCGCTGGCAGAAACGTCTGAACGTAACACGTAGCCCATCGCAGTCCCGAGAACCGCCCACACAACAAGGACAAGACTTTTCAAATCTGAGCTGTACAACCGTAACGGCGTTACCACGCCCCTGTCGTGTCACACCGTCCGGGGCCGGATGTGACGCCAGCGCGGTCCCACCTCTTGGGCCCCTGTACGGAGAGCAGGCCCATGTCAGTAGAGCGGTCCGTCACCGTCGCGTTCAGCTGCCGGTCCTGGATCGCCGTCATCATGTGCGCGCGCACGTGCTCGGCGAACCCGCCGCCCACGGCCACGTAGAATCCACGCCCCTGGCGGCACCGGCGGCACTTGCGTCACTAGGATGCCGGTAGCGTAGTGGTTAACAACGGCGCGTATGGGAAACCAGAGGAACGGGGTTCGATTCCCCGCAGCGTCCGCCCTTCTGACCAGGGTGAGAGGCAGGCGACGCCATATAGTCTCAGCAGCTGAGTGCGTCGTTAAGTCCCTACGACAACAATAACTTGCGTCACTCGCCCCGACACTCACGTCACTCAGCAGAACTCTAACCAGACCTCTGACTCTCCCCCTGGAGACTTGGAGGTCAGCCCCTTTAATGTTGAACGAAATACATACAAACACATGTGTTTGCCATGTTTGGAGTCCGTTTTGGGGGCGTGTTTGTTCCTGTAGCGCTCGCCCTACATCTCCAATGGATTTGACACGGAACACATCCCCTGCATCCCCAATCCATTTGACACGAAATACATCCCCTGCATCCCCAATCCATTTGACACGAAATACATCCCCAACATCCGCAATCGATTTAACGCGAAATCCCACGGGTTATGTCCGACCAACGCAGTCCTGAAAACCGGCCAGGGCTGGACAGCCGTGACCTGACTCGGCCGGGTGTCGCACTGCAGAGGGCTGGACAGGTCGCGTCCGTTCGCACCTGGAAGGCGGGGTCACAGGCGCCGCCGTCGCCCGACTCCAGGACGCTCACTGTCAGGTCGGACTCGATCCCTCCGCGGCCATTCAGCATGCACGTGTACACTGAAACAGCACAGCACCACCTAGACATGCGCTGCAAACGCAAAAAGAATGATAAACGAAAAAAGAGCAGAGAAGGCAGCACATCATTGCAAGCCAGAAGACAGCAGTTCAAGGACAGTGAATGATCTTGTAAGAAGCGTACGGAATAACAAGGCTGTCACCATTGCAGGGGGGGGGGGGGGGCATGACGATCAACATCTAGCGTTGCCCATCCGTTGAGCGTTGTTGGAAATGGGGAATAATCATTTCACGGAGCTATGAACATAATTTGCACCTCATGAAACAGAAGGGGAAGGCTTCACGGCTAGTGAAATTGTAATACGACTATTGTATTGTAAGATGCCAAATCGCAGGAGCATCATATCACGAATGTCTGTCTCAGGTAATATGCATGTCCATCTGAGCTGAAATACAGTCACCATCTTATTCTGAACATGATCGAATATCCTGCGGGGACGGTACTTCGGAATCAGAATGCTTCCTAGACATGGTTTGATGCCAAAAAACCGGATGAATCACCCCAAGAAGGCTATTCCAGCTCAACGACAGCTTTCGCCTCGGCCTGTAAGTCAAATAGCGTCGAGGGATACCAACGCGCTTTGCTATGCGATGAAGCAGTTATGTCGTGCCTGCCTGAACCTCCTAGCCGGTTGCCAAATAGCAGCCAATGCAAGCCACGTAAGTGCTGTTCCGGGGCGCAAGATCATACGTCTGCCAAACAGTGAATAAAATGTCCCGCGCCCAACCCGCTCGACAGCAGGGATGCCAGGTTCCTCTTCATGTCCCGACACGCGAGTCCCTGTCCCCGTCCCCTGTTACTCTACATGTCCCCGGCGGTTTGATGGATGAGCTCAGGCCCCGCCGTCTGCTGATATCAACCATTCCGACGCGCAGCTCCACCACAGCACCCGACCCACCGACGGAGCCGGCCGGCTTCTGCAGGTCGTTGGAGAAGATCCAGTCGACGGCCGCCTGCGCGTCCGGCCCGGTCACGTAGTACTTGGCGAAGTAGCTCATGTTGAAGAGCGCGGCTGCAGACCGACATGCCAGGCTCTCGTCCCGAATCTGGCGGCGGCGGCGGCGGCCGGTCAGGCATTATGAAGGCTGAGTTGGCGAACTTCTACAGGGAGAGCGGACCGTGATAGAATCCGAATGATAAAATTGGAGAGAACACATGTTCGCACTAGTGGGGTTGGTGCTACATTTTTTCTCATGATTCATGCTAAGTCCCTGTCCGTAGGCGGGGACGCTGCCAATGGGGGAAGAGCCAGGCTTCCCGTCCTGAAGTCACGCGGGGCTCGCTTGGCGGCCGCAGAGAATCTACTGTTTCATCGGTCTGTGCCTGGAAAACATCGGCCTCCCGAGCAGAGCTGAAACCACTGATAACCATTGGAACACCTCAGGTGCCAAATATTAATGGCACCACGACAGCAGGGTGCAAGAGCTGCAGGCAGAAACAAATCTGCAAAAAGGCAGCGTTTTTCGCACATCGCTCAAGTCGTTACTATGTTATTTTTCCCTTAGTCGCTGTTCCACTGCAACGCGCAATAAACACTTTCCGCTAAGGCACGCCCTTACGCACCCATAACATCACAACACAAAGGCTCAGAGCAATGATCCCTTCCCCAAGGTACGAAAGCCTTGCTTGGAAGCATAATACTTGGTCAGCGGAAAGACTGTTATCTAGATGTCCCTGCTGGACCTCTAAAGAACTTCACAGAGCATGTGAACAGTAAGGACGGTTCACTTAAGCTGACACTCAGAACAGTGCTTGAATGTCAAGAAAAATAACTATGACACCGGATAAGCTCGTGAACAAAATCAGATAAAACACCCAAAACACAAACACTACGGACGGAGTACAGCCTAAAAATAACATTCATTCCGTCGTTAAAAGGCAGAACAACGCAACACCCACCACGTTGTGATGCGGAGGGAAGTCGAAGGAGTACTCGTGCTTGAGCAGGTCGTAGTAGGTGTGCTCCTGGTGGACGGGCGTGCCGTAGGCGCCGTACCAGTCGTAGGACAGGGCCGGGGCCGGCCGGCGCTCGCGGTGGAACCAGCCGGGCCGCTCCCAGCCCTGCCGCTCCTGGTAGTGGCAGCCGGCGTCCAGCAGCTCCTGGGAGCGGGAGGGGGGGGGGGGGGGAGAACGTCATCGGCGCCCAGACGGTAAGGCGGCTCCGAACGGACCGGGGGCCGGTCTGCCACTGCTGGCATACCGTTACCCTGTGCCGCGCGACCTCTGCGGACGGACCGGAGGCCGGTCTGCCACTGCTGGCATACAGTTACCCCGCACCGCGCGACCTCTGCGCTACAACATATCAGAACGTCCTGAAATATCACCGTGACGTTATCGTCGTTTCGTATTCCTATTGTCAATAGGTCCAGATTTGCGCATACTTGCTACGGTTAATTTCACCCAAGTGCTGACACCATTTTTGCTTTACGGATGATATTTCAGGGTCAAAATCAAGGTCAAATGACCGGTACGCTCGAGAGTTAACTATGGGAAGCACCCCAGCACCCTGAACACAAAAACGTGGTTAGCCACGCGGACTGACTCCGTCAGGGTGACCTGCACACCCAAGGTCACCCTGGAAGGTCCAGTGATGGGGAGTACTATTAGCCACACCGTGGGCCACAACTCAGCGTTGTAAGCACCAGGACGGATTTTGACGCCCTGGTCGAAATAACCTGAATCCTCTGGTCATCCCTCAAGGTAGAAAAATATTGGTCAAAAAACGGAGAACGCCACAGTGACAAAACTACTAAGACGCTTCCGCGTCTGAACACCAAAACGCACATCATCACCCGGACCACCTTCTGTCGAAGTGTCCTGAATGCCTGAGGCCACCCCGAATGGTTAAATATACATGAAATAACTGAGAATACCGCAGTGACCAAAACGTCGCATCAAGCGAAGCATCCCGAACGCCAAAGCGCAGTTTGTTACTCGGACTGAATCTCGGCGCGGTGACCCCATCTCTCGAGGTCATGCTTCAAGGTCAGGTCCCAGGTAAGGTAGCGATCGGCACGATTATTTAACTATGAGATCCAGTGCAGCGCTTAAGCATCAAAATGTCTTCCGTTATCCGGATCAACATTTGCCAGGACAACGTAAACCTTAACGGTCACCTTCCAAGGCCGAAATCAAGGGTTTATAACAGAACACATTATAGCGACCAGACTATGATACCCAACCAACTTTTCGAGCTAAAGAACTCCAGAGCTCGCAGTTTACCACCGGGAATAATCTCCTCTAATATAGCCTGACCTGTCGAAGAACACAACGCTAACGTATCGGGCATCCCTGATGCCGGCATCATAGACTTTATGACCGGTGATGCGCAACGCGCAAGCCGGGGGGGGGGGGGAGGGGGAACAGCAGTCATGACGTGAGTGTCGAAAAATCGCGACATACTACACAGATACCAGACGTCGGTGTCGGATTGATGATGTATGACACGCGACACATTTATCTATACCCATCCGTTTGCTACCCGTCGCTGCCCAGCCGCGTCTTTCTGCCATCCTAACTGTGTCGGTTTAACTCGTCTCTGGTTTATCTGTCCGCTACCGGACCACTGCAAACACAAGTACATAGTGGCAACCGCAGTGCCTTCTGCAGCTTCCGAACACTTGAGACATGCGACCGTCGGCGCCGGCTGCAGCCAGTCTCGGGTTCAGACTCACCTGGTGCAGCGAGCAGCCAGTCTCGGACTCGGGCTCACCTGGTGCAGCGGGCAGCCAGTCTCGGGCCCGGGCTCACCTGGTGCAGGGGACAGCCAGTATCGGGCTCGCGCTCACCTGGTGCAGCGGGCAGCCAATCTCGGGCCCGGGCTCACCTGGTACAGCGGGTAGCCAGTCTCGGGCTTCCCCTCATACGCGAGTTCTGGGGGGGGGGGGGCACGGGGGCATGGCCCCCAAAAAACTCTGAGAGTATGTTTTGTCCCCCCCCCAAAAAAAAAACATTACCACAACTTCATAAAACTTTCGTGTACTTATCGTCTGTTTTGACTTTAACCGCTTTAACTGTTCTGTTTTAACTTCTGTTTAAGATTAAAAAACATTTCGGTGCTTGAATGGTGTCCCTACTAGGCACTCGCGAGAGGCACCATGCACTGGACCTCGGATCCCACATCAGCCAGCTGGCAACGAACGGTTGCCCCCCCCCCTCCCCAAAACCCCATGCTAGATCCGCCCCTGCTTCACCTGGTACAGCGAGCAGCAAGGTTCGGGATAGGGCTCACCTGAGGGCAGCCAGTCTCGGACTCCGGCCCACCTGATACAGCGGGCAGCCAGTCTCGGGCTGGGGCTCACCTGGTACAGCGGGCAGCCAGTCTCGGGCTGGGGCCCACCTGGTACAGCGGGCAGCCAGTCTCGGACTCGGGCCCACCTGATACAGCGGGCAACCAGTCTCGGGCTGGGGCTCACCTGGTACAGCGGGCAGCCAGTCTCGGGCTCGGGCTCACTTGAGGGCAGTCAGTCTCGGGCTCGGGCTCACCTGGTACAGCGGGCAGCCAATCTCGGGCTAGGACTCACCTGATACAGCGGATCTTTGCGCATGTTCCTCCCGGCCAGCGGCTCATCGTGAGGGAACACCATCGAGTAGTTCTTGGCGTAGGCTTCATGACTGCGCTCCTTGATCCACTGCTTGTTGGTGGTCAACTCCGGGTTGAAGCGCCTGCCGGAGAAAAGAGATATGCTGGAGCGGGGAGTCGGAGACTGAGGAGTATCATATCCATTAGGCTGTGAACTATGTTGAAAAAGATAGTTCACATGTTGTACACATGTTGTACATGTTCACCTGTTGTGAACTATGTTGTAATGTTGCCACATGATAGAGTTTCAAACCAATATTCCAGGAGATAATCCCCGAGTGGTAAAGCAAAGCACTGATGGTTTTAAACAGTTTGAAAGATCTTTGCAGTTCATTCTCCCAAAGTTGTTATTCTTCACATTTTTATTATAGATTTTAGCGCCATGGTATCAGTAGTTTAAGCAAGGCTCTCAGTTAAAAAAGTCATGGTTCAAATAGACTTTTTATCAAATATACTGGCACTCACCGCGCCTGAATTCACCGAAAAACTTGCCCTCTGAAGTGATGACAAGGTCCTCATTTTCGCTGTAAAAAAGTTTGGATATGCTCGACCCGCTTACGGTAAGTGTGACTCCAACCTAACATAATCCACTCCCACCTTCAGAACCGCCCTGCGTCCATCGTATGCTCGGGATGATCTTAGCTTTCTTACAGACACCATGAACGATGACCACGTGCACGCTGGCATGTCGCTGGTGGCATTTTCATGCTTTCGCGGTAGCTTTGCTCTTTCGTGCCCTATTTTCTCACGGAGCGGATTTGGCGGCTTTGGGCGAATCGGACCGGATTTGGCGGCTTTGGGCGAATCGGACCGGATTTGGCGGCTTTGGGCGTGACGAACTGGAGGACCAGCGTCACATCATAGTGCCGGCCAAAAAAGCTATCTCGAAGGCATCTTAAAAGCTACTTTCACGTCCCATTAGGTCAGTGCCAAGCAGTGCCACTGCACTGTGATTGCATGATGTTTCCGCATTTTGTATGGCACTGTGATTCCGCACAATTGCGTTATATCCATGACACTACATGAGCTATTGCGCGACGCTGCTCGCTTCCCTTTAAACTTGTTTCCCGCAAGAGAATCGAGAAACGAAACCCTGTTTGCAGAATCTCCACATCCCATCGTGCGAAATGCGCAGATTATGTTAAAAAAGGACCTGTTGCGCGACTGTTATCAATCGACTGAGAGGGCCAAAAGATTAAGTTATGGCCACCAAATCCCACTAATCTATATCAGTTTATGTTGGGGGGTCGCTTTAAAATTGATGCGGATACTTGAAGCACTTTTCTAGCAGCTACGTCTTCTAAAAACTTAGGCGACTAGTTTCAACTAGCCGCGCAGCCAAGACCATATGCTGATCTTTGAAAGGTAAAGCATTTAAATAAGAAAAAACTCAATTATTTGTACCGTCACGGAGTGCCCGTAGTGCATGCTGATCAGTACGGGCTAAGGCGAGTATCCAAATACGGACTGCGCAGCTAGCGATGCGGAGGTGCGAAGTAACGTTCATGTGGGAGCAGCAGCGATAGGATCCAGCAAGAGGGCAGGAGGGTTCGACGGCAGCACTGACCTTACAGGATCAGCGCACTCAACGTTCGCTATTATCTCACTTCCCCCTCCCCCTTCCTGTTCGATCTGAAGACAGGTCACGTTCGGAAATTTGCCTCCTCCTCCTCCTCGTTTACCAAATCAGTGCACATACCCGTAGTAAGTAGTGAGGTGCTAATGCCCATGCTCGGACCTCACTGAACATTTATTCACCGGCATACAGTGAAAAACCCGTCTAAAAAAGAACATTAACTCCACATTTCTCCTTGCGCCTGCTGATATGCCGTTGCAACCCTTTACGCACACAGGTGGTCTAATATCACAAACTCAAGGGCGGAACACAATTACTGATCCCAGATGTTAAAGACCTACATGTCGGGCTAAAACCGAAGGGCTAACCTGATGTCGTAGCCGTACATGTCAAGCGATGGCCGTCAGACTGACCTGATGTCGTAGCCGTACATGTCGAGCGGCGGCGGCAGGAAGACTGAGTCCGAAGCATTACATGTCGAGCGGTGGCCGTCAGACTGACCTGATGTCGTAGCCGTACATGTCGAGCGGCGGCCGACAGACTGACCTGATGTCGTGGCCGTACATGTCGAGCGGTGGCCGTCAGACTGACCTGATGTCGAAGCCGTACATGTCGAGCGAGGGCCGACCGTTGACGATCCACTCTGCTAGCTGCCAGCCACAGCCGGCGCCCAGCATCATGCCACTCGAGTTAAAGCCGCAGTTGTGGTAGAAGCCGCGCAGCCGCGGGTCCTCGCCTGCCGGACAGCGGAGCGGCGTCAGCGCCACCGTGGGCCGCACCGTCGCGCTTGGTGGGGCTCCCCGGCGGAGCACGGAGTGATGACGGATGACGGATGACGGATGACGGATGACGGATGACGGATGACGGGTGGCGGGTGACGGGTGACGGATGACGGGTGGCGGGTGACGGATGACGGATGACGGGTGACGGGTGACGGGTGATGGATGACGGATGACGGATGACGGATGACGGACGGCGGCAGTGTCGTCCGCGGTCGCAGCTCGGAGCCGGCGGCTCGACTTACCCATGATGGGGTTGTGGTCCGGCGTGAAGGACTCGGGTCCGCAGACGGTGGACTTGATGCCGGTCTTCTCCAGCTCGGGCAGCCGGTTGATGGCGCCCTCTATGTGGCACATGAACACGTCCCAGTCCAGCTCGAACAAGCCAAACGGGAAGTCCTCCTGCACCTGTGACACACACAAATAACCATGAATGACAAAAATGGCAATGACAAAAACGGCGATCACCCCGATTGCTCTCGCCCCAGGGTCCGTTGTCCACAACAGCGCTAAACAACGGCAGAAGTGTAATCTATCTTTGGCGCTGGCCAACTTCTCAGCACGTCCGATGATGCTTCTGCTCCAGCACCAAGACGAGTGACATCACTGACGCGCAGCGAGAGGGCGATACACTAATCTAGCTTGAATACCGACCTAGCGTGGCACGCCGGCCACGCAGCTCGCACACTATACCTTGTCCAGGAAGAGGGGGTTGTACTCATATCCGCCGACGCTTAGCGCGTCACCCTGCAGCTTCAGGTAGACGGAGGCGTCGTGGTCGCGCACGTTGGGCGTCATCTCGATGCCGGGGATCTTCTCCGTGACCACGTAGGCGTGCTTCATGGCCAGCAGCGGGATGGTGAGGCCGGCCATCTCCGCTATGTAGTTGGCCCACGCACCTGTCGGTCACGGCAGGAGGCGCGTTCCACTCGCGGCGCGCACAAGCCCGCAACACCGACCCCCGATCTGGCTGAGCGACCGATCCCGCGCGGCGCCCGCGGCCGGCTGAGGCCCAGGAGCGTCACCTGTGGCGTTGACGACAGCGTTGGTGCGGACGCGGCCGTGCGGCGTGACGACGGCGCTGACGCGGCGCGTGCCGCGGTACTCCTCGGTCTCGATGGCCGTCACGCCGCAGCCCTCGATCACCTGCGCGCCAGCGAGACACGCGATAGACACGGGCCGCTGCCGTCCCGCCACCTCGGGCCAGCGGGGGTCGGGGGAACGGGCCGCGAGACTGCACGGGATGCGATCCGCGCCTGTCAGCGACTGAGGAATAGGTAACGGCGACGAAACCTGACCAGGTCAGTCAATATCGACGGCGGGCAGCATCCACGAATTGTATAGCTTGAGTAACTCACCACAGCACCCTAGCGGGAGCAACAAGGGCTATGGTTGGAGTACAGGCTGCGCTGGTGGGTCCGATTCACCGTCCCCGGGTGTGCAGTGGCCTCTCTGCCCCTAATTTCGTGAGATTAAGTCTCGCCTTGTCCCCATCTGTCGAGGGCACTGCTACCTCGGCCCATCTGGTGATATGGATGTGCGTCCTGATCCTATATGGTGAGATCAGTGCTCACTTTGACCCGATTTGGTGCGATGAATGCTCAACTCACCCCTGTTGGTGAAAAAAGTGTTCTCATTCTGGCCCTATGTTCTGGTGGGACCAGTGCTCTGACCCTAGCCTGGTGATCTGGTGAGATGAGTGTTCTCACCTTGGCGCCTTACCGGCTGCAGTGCTCTCACCCTGGCATTCTGCCGGCTGCAGTGCTCTCACCTTGGCGCCCTGCCAGGTGAAGTGCTCTCACCTGGCGCCCTGCCAGGTGCAGTGCTCTCACCTCGGCGCCCCGCCGGGTGCAGTGCTCTCACCTTGGTGCCCTGCCGGGTGCAGTGCTCTCACCTTGGCACCCTGCCGGGTGCAGTACCGGCTGAGGGCGGTGCAGAGGCCGGCCGGGTCAATGGTGCCGTCACCGGGCGAGAACAGGCAGCCGTACATGTCGGTCGTGTTCAGCAGCGGGTGCACCTGGGGGCCGAGCGATGGAACGTGACGTGACGTGACGCTGCCGCTCACCGTTCGGCTCGCGTCGGCACGCAGCTGCACATTGCTCATTACTGCAAAATGTATGTCACAGTAAGTTGCAGCCTCTCCTTTTTGATAATAGAAGAATACGCATGATCCTTTCTATAAACAATACCCGTTTATATCAGGCATGTTGCGTTGTCAAAATGACAAGTAATTGAAGAGGTGAAAAACAAATGATCAAGACTACCACTGACCGCCGCGATATCATGAGCTAGACCGCGCTTACCCCGGGATATGCACCACACATTACGCTACATTTTCACAATTACACTGCGGAATTAGTTTCTACTTGTGAGATCACGGTTGGGAGCTCGTGCAATGCCGCAGTCGTATTACAAAGATGGAACAGGTACTTGTGGGCCATGTCTTTAGCGACTCAAACACAATTATCGATTGATTTAAGCGTCACATAGCGCTACGCACATCACGACATCAAAATATATCCGACCACCTGCTTAAAAAATCTTAAAGGCGTTACTTGGTTAAGCAGGTGTGTACAAAGTGTAGCGATGGAAGCAACACACACGCGGACTTTTGCTCGCCGAAGCAGCGTACCAACGGCACAAAATGACTCATCGCATCAATTGTGTCACGCTTCCATCCAACTGAATAGCCCTAGTTCACTTAGTTGTCGCATAACAGAAGTAAGGACGACCCAATAAGTGGAACAGAACACATTTTGCTAAACCTGGGCGAAAGAAAGTGACTCGATATGTGTTCGTCTAGCAAACGCAATTCTCAGCAAGTACACTTCAGATATCTGGGTCCCATCCGATCGAAAAACGTCTAGTGCGATATCTAGTGCGACAAGTGACCACATGAATCCTGCATTGCACACAGACCATCGTATTGCCCAGACAATCAAAAACGCCCTCCACCTTGCCCCAGCCCCAATCACGAGCGACACAACGGCGCCTTGCGCAACACGTTACGCTTCGACCTGTTCTACCTGCCCAAGGTGCGGGTAGAACGGGTCGACAATGTGACGAACAGGCCGAGTCACAGCTCTCGCGTAATTGGGTCGGATCAGGTGAATGGCGAGGTTTGCTTTGTACCCTACAGTGTCTGCGTTTTGGTTCTACTGTGAACCCTTTGGAGACCCCATGCCCTGCCAATATCGTGTATCAATAGCGTGGCAGTGTCATGCGCTAAGGGTCGCGGCGCAGCAAACCAAAACAAAGAGAGGGATGTTTTCGTCTTTTCTGGGTTTGTCAAGGCTCAAGTGCCACTTTCGAATCCCAATTACTTCCTCATTCTAGAAATCATTGATAGGACAATTGCGTTAGAGACCAAGCCCTCTGAGCCCGGTTCGAAGCCCGAGGGAAATGGGTTGGTTAAATGACCAAATGACGGCACACGCAAGCTCTTTCTACTGTAAGGAGAAGACTCATTCAAGGTTATGCATGTAATCACGCGCACGATCGGCCAAACATTTATACCATTACGTTTCTTACTCAACGATGCCAGAGCATCTACGTCTATATTAGCTCAGTGCAGGGAAGGGTGAGTTACTGAATCAGGCGTGAAAGGGAGCGTACTGAATGATTTCCATCGTTCTGCATTGATGGTCCACGTAGGATCGTTCCACTTCTTAATCTACGTAATCCATCTATACATTTTCTATGTCTATTTTCATACCTATATATTGCTGAGTAACCGCCGTTACAAAATTTTCACTAATTACAAGGGCCCCGCTAACGGAGGGCAGTGTTTCACCTCGTCGTCCCGAGGCCGTGCCACCGCGCCCTACGCTCTGCTCAGCGGCTGTCACTGACCTTGTGCACCTCCGACGGGGCGAGCACGTGGCTGTCGACCCCCATCGCGCTGCCGACCGTCATCAGCCGCTTGTACTCGTCCAGCCGCTGCCGGTTGTTGGCGACGAAGAGGCCGCCGTTGTTGATCCAGCCGACCTCCATGTCGGTCTCGGCCTCCAGTCGCGGCATCTGGGCCACGGTGTGGCCGAGCAGGGCGATAGTCGTGTCGCTCGGGCGCAGCTTCCACACCAGACCTGACACGCAGCGCGGGACGGGACGGTCGGCAGGGCGGCCGGTCGGCGATAACGTGTACAGCCCGCCCCGGATAAGCCTTTAGAAAACCCCTGAGGCGGCCATCGCATGACCTGGTCATCGGTTCGCTGCCTGTTCTTGCTGCAAGTTTGCAATAGCGCTAAATTACGATTTTTGTTGACAAGTAAAGCCAAGCTCCTTAATCGTGTTATGGACGCCTCCAGCTCGTGAATGTGCAGGCGTAATGCCTCCATGGAACAATCGTTAACTGAAGACAATGCACTCAGAGTGGCGATCAACTGCAAGTTGTAACATCTCCTGTCTACCTCGCACTACAAAAGCTCTTCATAGAGTCCACTCCCCGCCGAAAGGACAAGCCTGCCAGCGGCCAACGGGGAGGCGGAAGCGGCCTCCCGACGTACCGGCGGTGTGCCAGGTGGTGCCGGCCGTGAGAGCGTGCTTCTCCAGCAGCACCGTGTTGGTGACGCCCATCTTGGCCAGGTGGTACTGCGTCTGGCAGCCCACACTTCCGCCGCCTGCATGCAGAATGGAGAGCTAAGGCGACTCGTGAAGCGGTGAGGAAATGCCGGATTAACATCAATCGTATTGGGGCCTTTAAATTGGCTTCTGAGGCTATCACCGACGTTTATTTAGTGAATAGTCCAATGCGAATGCAACAAAACCAGGCAACACTCAGCCGCTTTTCATTGTCATCATGGTCATATCTTCAATTCATCGCTACTTTCCCGTTACTGGAGCCGAATGGCGATGCCAGCGGGACATTCATGTCTCTCGTGTCTGCAGAGACAGCCGGAGAACACGGGCGCCCGTTTCCAAGCTGTCGTGTTCAAGATGAGCTGGTGCTGTCCGAAACAACGACCTGCCACTCCACGTCAACAACGACTTGCCATGCCGGAAGACCATCTAATTAGGGCGCGCGAAGAAGGGCGAGAGCACCCTCAGGCATGCCGTGTGCTTGTGACTGCAAGTACGGGGGAGGGGGGCGGTTCCCTCGCCGGCATCTGTTGAGCGTCGCGATCGCACGGGACCAAGGACCCGAGCCTGACCCGGCAAACGTCAGCGTTGGTAAACAGAGCGCTGCGTCGGCTCCGCTGCAGCCGGCATCTGACTCTCGTCAGGCGGCCCCAGTCACCGCGAGCTTTGGAGCACTCGGGTCTGGCAGCGGCCCGAAAGCGCGGCCACTGCCCGGTCCAAGGACAGGCGGACACCAAACGCGGTCAGCACCGCCCAGATCTGCGCACAGATGGTGTTTGGGTTTGTAAAAACATGCATACGTATGCGCCCGTATTGTGGCATACATGTCATGCAGCACTGCTGCGTACACATCGCTTGTGTGCGCGAGGCAGCGCAATTGGGTCACGAGCGCAGAGTCTCAGCCACCGACCGAAGCACGAACTTCGAAACCCGCCCGACGCAGACGCTTCCGAGGATCAGTACGCTGATCTCCGGTAGCCGGCAGATATCAGGACTTCCACGGCAGTGCCTCATCACCGCCAGCCAGTCAAGCGATGTGGCAGCAGTCAACCCGTCACGTGACGGTCACAATTCACCGCCAGTTGACGGGCAGCAGGTCACGTGCCGGGGCGATCCAGTGACGTCGCATATCGAGCCGACCCAGTGACGTCCCTGTGCCCGGGGGAGCCGTTCCACGGTCGATGCGGGCGCCAACCGCGGTCCACGGCAGGGCGGACGGAATGCGATGCGATCGGAGTGGTGCTGGTGGTGCTGGTGGGGCGACCCGCCCGGGCCAACCCGGGCAGTCGCAGCGCCCGGCCGCGGCCCGTGCCCAGCAGCGACGGTCGGCACCATCCGACAGGAATCAGAGTTGGAATCAGCACCAACCTCACCAGCCGCGCCGCGTGCGATCGGGGTCGCGCCGGTGGGGCGGCGCCGGTGGGAGGCCCGCCCGGGCTGACCCAGGCGGCCGCAGCGCCCGGCCGCGGCCCGTGCCCAGCAGCTACTGTCGGCACCATCCGACAGGACGCCCAGCGGTCAGTGATACTGTGGCAGACGTCCTTCGGCGGACCCGCGGTCGCTGTCCTCCATCCCACTGAGGGCCACTTGGAGTTGCAACCAGCCGGTGTGTCGACAATGCTTTGGCTGAAGAGCGGCTCAGGGAGCCTGACTCAGGGGTCTCTTCCACGAAGTTGCTTGAAGGGCTCCAACGATAGGGGCTCCAACTCAGGGGTCTCCCTTTCCAAGAAGTTTTTGAAAGGCTTCAACGATAATTTTCGACTTATGACATTTTTTCCATCACTCACCTTAGCAACTGATCCGCCAAATGGTCAAGCAAGAAATCATTGAGGACCAGTTCCCAAAAGTACACAAAATTACTTCCCCAGTGACGCCTACGCTCAAGTTTCCTTATCACTCGCTCTCAACACCCCAAAAACGGCATATATCCACGTTTCCGCCGTCGATGCATAACAACTTTTAGTCGATGCATACTTACAACCGGCGCCTTACATCCCATTGCTGTTATTGCGAACACTTGCTGTACACATCACTGTTTAGGAGCGAGTCATCACGACTCCCGCCTCTTTTTTATCGTATCTGTCGGGCCGCTCCGAAATGCGTTCTTAAGACGCTTGCATCTGCAAGCCGGCGCATCCACCAGGCCTGTGCGTCACTCTGTTTTGCCGTGATCTATTGCGACTCCAACTCACAACGCATGAGGTTGATTTTGACTAGGAGTGCAATCCGCGGAGAAACAGAGTCTTGAAAAGGTCCGAGCTCCGTCGCATGGGTACATATACATGGTTCCATTCCGGAGCGGTTTCGGATGAGGCATGGCGGTGGGCGGCGCGCTGTGCGTTGCGGTCGCTGTGCGCGCACAAGCGTGGCTTTTGTTTCCCAACATTTACAATCGACGCGGGTACACTTACAGCTTGCAGGATACCAAGTTTTAATAATCGAAATGGCACGGTCACACGCATGACACGGCACGGGATCACAGATAGATTTTGCTCTCTTCCACGGTTTTGCACCTTTTGTGCCACATTTCGGCACCTATGGCACTAACACACCCGTGATTGGCGCGCTTCAATGATGAATGGAAAGAGCGAGATGATAATGTTTGATGACACGTGCCACATGTCATGGCGCCCATGCGTTTAACTATGGATTTACACAATTTCGGTCTTTTGAGGGGCTTGCACGTTTTCGTGATGTCTCAGAAACCAGGAATAAAGTGTACAGCGGCTGGCATGCTTCGATCGGTGGCCTAACGAGCAATCACTTGAAACGTGTGCGATGTCACGCTGCACGTGTCATGTGACACGAGCACATTAGCTGCGAAACTGTATTTTGCCGATTTCGTCCATTTTGACGCTTTACGCGGGATTTCCGCTCTTATGGCACGTAGCAACACGAGACTGGCATGCTGCAATAGGCCATTAAGCGGAAAATGCCATGGTCACATGTGTCACAAGTGCGGGGTGGCACACGTGTGTCCGTGTCGGGCACACACGAGCCAGGAAGATGGCTTTTGCTCTTTTCCACGGGGTTACACGGTTTGCGCCACATCGCGGCACCCAGAGCACGGAGCGACTGGGGAGTGGCATGCATTGATACGAAATCGAATAGATAATGACGCTGCATGAATTGTCATGCCGAACGTGCTGCGTGTAACGCGTTCACGAGCCAGCAAAATAGATTCGGCAGTTACCGGCCGTTTTTCATTCTTCGGTACCATGCAATACTGTTTAATACAACGGCAGTGCGTGCTGTCATCATTCAAAAGGCCGACAGTTGATGGAAGGGGCAAAAATCTCCGGCCACACCGCACGACCATTCGCTCATCCCATGGAATAGGTTCGGCTGTATTGCAGAGAGCGCGGCGAAATGCGCTCTCTCCTGCCGGTGCCCGCCAGACACCGCCAGTACCGCGCGCGGCCTGCGACCGAATCCTTCACACTTTACGCGATATTTTGACAGCCAGGACACCTAAAACCGTGATTCTAGCTGCAAAAGATACATAGTGCAAAATTTTCAAATTTACAATAGCGCAGCGAAGCAAGCGCGCAAGCGCTAGCAGGACACTATTTCGAAAACAGGACACCTATCTCTGAGTGTGAATGTGTGACTGTGGGTTCCATTGGTCCACATTTCAGCAGTTGTAATAATATAACAATAATATACACACACACACATATGTATATATATATATATATATATATATATATATATATATAATGCTGAGTTTTCTTGCTGAGTTGACTCATCAATGATCTGAGTGAATTAACCCTAAATGTGACAAAAATGTTGTCAAGATTCTACGTTTCACTGAGGGAAACAATATCGCGAATTCCAGGACCCACTTCCATCTCTTCCAGAATCGAACCTCCATCTTGCATTTACGCATTCCGATGGCCATTAATGTGTATGTCACAACAGTACGGGCACGTGGGTTAAAAGGGTGGTCAGAATCAGCCGGGCACAGCTGTTCAGTAGAAATTGCAACAGCAAGGGTTGCGGGGGTTAGGGAAAGTGTCACGATAAAAAAAAATACATGCACACTGTTCCCTGTCTTCATTTCGCTGCCTTCGTTGTGATGCGTTTGCTTTGTTCCTGTCTGCACGCACCTGACAACGTGATCTTCAAACCAGCTACCAGTGACAAATCATCACATGATGCATTCATATCGTCAGAACATAGCAACTCACGTCCCAATGACGTCACTGCACCTACCGATGATGACGACGTCGGCCTGCTCGGGCACGGAGGCCGGCCCGGCCACCTGCTTGCCCGCGAAGCTGGTCTCGTAGGGTACCCCAGCATCAGCCGTCGTCGAAGGGCGGCAGTAGCCGCGGGACACGGACGGCACCACCTGCGCAGGCGAGGCCACGGCCGAGGTGACGGCGGCGCCGGACACACCAGTCCCCGGAACTCGCGCTGTTTTGGTTTCGTGTGCGTCTACGGTTCGTTTTACGGCAGGACAAAACATGATTTCACGGAGTCCAATTCCTGGATAAGCGGGACACTAAGCAGAGTTTTCCAACACGTGATACGGGGCCCGTTCCATGGCACCTTAGGCATCACGTTTTCCATCACGTGGTTCGGGCCCGTTCCATGGCACCAAAGCCTGGCTAGAAATGTTTCAGCGGCGCTCGCATTCGAGCAGTTAACACTGCGACGCGAGGAAGAATCAACCTTTTCTACCGAGCTTTCCGCTTTGCCCTAGGCAAGCATTTGACCGTCGGAAAATAAACAACATACCATCAAAATGTTTGCTTCATCGCCTTCCTAAAATTGAGACTGTTTTATTAAGAGCCTATCAAATTATACTCCGATGATAGTGAGAAGGAGAGCTTGCAGCCGGCCGGCAACGTTACAGAGCTCCTGCGCCATAACGCTGCCACGTCACATGCCATGCTTTGGGGGGGGGGGGGATGTTTGCTCCCTGGCTCGTGCTCTTCATCTGATCAATATTGGAGCAGCAGACATACGGTGTCGCCTGCTTGGCTGTTTGTACAAGCTCCACGCTTTTCTCTAAGTCGCGTCGCGTCTTGTTTTCGTCGCGTTCACACATTCTCTGCGATTCTCGCGTACCCACCCTGCGCCGCAAATATCTGCATCTTGAGGTCTCTTGCGCTATCAAAATATTCATTCCATACGATGAAGGATCACGATCCGGCAACTGCAAGGTTTTACCGTTGCGGCGACTTTAATTTAAAGGCATTTTGACTCATTATTTTAATAGCATTTTGACCTAACGTCAGATTTGAATTTTGGCCGGTTAAATACCATGCACTCAGGTGGGGGTCAATTTGGCCCACTTAAGATTTCTAAACCATAAAAAATAGGAAACACCAAATTCCGAGGAGGGTACCCCCGCATGAAAGTCTCGCTTGAGTCAAGTTTTGAGGACCGTAGGTCGCGTACTTCAGGCCAAATCAGAACCGGAAGGTCAGACTCAAGATTGGTCTCCAAAGTGCCTACAGACGTTCTCATGTAGCCACTTTTATTTTGGATAACTCTTCTAAGCGCAGGTTACTGGAGGCCATGTCAGGGTCACTAACCTTGTTTGACCTTGTGAAGGTCAGGATGACCAAGCGCCTTCGAGACTGGCTTGATGTTTCAATTCAAAAAGCATGTGTCAGGCGGTATGTTCTTTACAGAATATATGTTGAGGCCATAAGTGAGCTCCTCCAATCTGCATGCAGCTCATAATATGTATGTTGACGTCCCTGTGATTAATAGATTCGAAATGAACATCACAAACTGCGTTAGAATAGTCTACCAGCACCACAACAATTTGGTTAAAGCCCTGGCCTGAACTTCATACCTGACCCAAGGTCAATGGAATCAGCCCCGATCGTAAACTTGACTCTCTCATTTTTTACCGAACCATATCCAAGATGTATAGCTTCGCCTAACACTCCGTTGTCGCATCAGACTGAACGATTTCCCAGCGATCGTCTTCACTGACTGTCATAGCCTAACACTGGCCATCGGTCAGCGACCTGACCAGCTAAATATTCTTTTTTGGTACAAAGAGATCGGCTATCCAATGCCCTGCAGATATGGACAGCTTGGCACGGCCACGTTGCGTCGTTCAGAGCGTATTTGGGAAAATCTACGGTGGTCAAATTGACACTCCTCCTGAACGCGTGTAAAACGCATATGTATGCTGGAGTTCAGCTCATTCTGAGGTTGTAAACCAATAGGCACTGACGATAGTGAAGCTCTTGTCATTACACGGGATCGCTTGCAAAAAGCATTTTAGTTGTTCACCGGTTTGTATCACCGGTCGCTAATGGAACGTATGGAGTTACATCAATGGTCAGGTATGAATGAATATGTTTTCTTTGATGATTTGTACATGCATTTCGCTGCTCACATATCATTCAAACTCGGATTAACTGATTTTTAGCTACTTTCGGACTGGCAAACAGAGAAGTGTTGACTGTGGCGAAGGCCCTGCCACTGCAGAGCGTCCTCTCTCGACATGTCAACGTGTAAATCTGTGAATCCGCAGACTGTTTCATGAACTTCCAAAGCGTATAGTCTCACTGACCGCTGAACGCAAGGTTTTTCATCATCAGAATCTATCGATAAGACACCATGGCAAGTAAATATTGGTATCAGGGGATACCAAGGTGCAGTCTAGCTCGCTGTTTTCAAGACGGTCCGGCCTGCAAGCTAGGAGCACGTACACCGGGTCCTCTCACGATGGATCCTCACACCGGGCCCTCTCACGATGGGTCCTCACACCGGGTCCTCTCACGATGGGTCCTCATACCGGGTCCTCTCACGATGGGTCCTCACACTGGGTCCTCTCACGATGCAACGCATAGTTCACCTTTCTCCGACCCACTGATCGCCGCCAAAGGTCTTGCAAACGTGTCCTCTTCATGGTCGCTACAGGCAGTATATCTGCAGAGAAGAAAAAGGTATCTCAGAAAGGCATTTGTTTGGGTTCGAGAAGCGGTTGAGAGGTTTTCTGAAAGCGCATCTTTAAGTCTTGATTGGTGAAGCTGGGTAAAGCAGTGACGCCAACCTTTGATAATGCGACTGGCAACATGTCCCTGTTACGACCGTGCCCGATGCCTTGTTGCTCACCATTATCGCTGGTCCCTCTTCATCATGAACCTTCACCCTAGTTCACCATCTATGCCCGTGTCACAGTTGCCGCCCCTGAACACATCTACAACTCATGGACCACCGCCCGAATGTATAACGTTTCCTGCCAAGGTAGCTCGCCTGAGCCGGTACGCCTGCCCGGTTCATCCCAACTGCCGCTGGACTCGCGCGCCTCCAGGGACGTCATCGCCACGGCGGAGGACTCCCAGCGCGCTGCTGCGGCGGGCGTCATCTCGTCCCATCCCACCGCAGACTGCCAGCTGCCGCCGCCGCCGGTCCGACTCGAAGGCACGCGCTGTCGCTGCGCGGAGGCCGGGACCCGTGCGTGACGTCATCACCGCCGAGGCGGCCCGGCGGGGCGGTGCGCTGCTGCGCGCTGCTGGGTGCCGCGCGTTATGGAGCGCCAGCGCGGCGCGCTGTGGTGTGGGACGCAGGACCCTCAGACACTCCTCTATGCGTGGGTTGTGTTTTTGAGCATGTATGTGCATGAGTTCAATCATCACATTTCTTCATGCACTGTCATGACCGCTATCCTTGCTCGCTTGATTAATCCGTGAGCGAGGTGCGAGTGTCGACACCTGAGGATTTCCGGGAGGGGGGGGGGGGGGGGCGACAGCCCCCGGTTGGCGGTCGAGTCCGCGTCACTAGTGCTGCCACTACACTTTCATCCCATTGCAAGCGCGCTTTTTACATAATGTTCACTCTGTGAAGTATCGATACGCCCGAATGAATTTCTGTGCAAGGTCCCGAACTCCCTATAACATGGATAAAAGGCGCGCGCAACACCAAAAGCGCGCACTCCACTGGCCACGGTAAAATTCCGGAACAGGCGATGATGCTCAAAACAAACCGGCACATGTGACAGCCCAGCCCACATGGCCTCTTCCTCGCGAGACATCTGTCCTGTTCACCGACCCACTGGCATACACAAACTGTAGAATTATAGTGGGTGTGGTCTTCTGTTTAGGTCCCCGGGCGTGTCTGGGGCAAGTTCATGACACGTATGCCCGCCGCATGTGTCCGACTCTGGCCTGTCGTTTGGAGGCCACCCGGTCAGGGGAGAGTTGAGCCGTCTTTTTTCAGCGACAAAAACTGGCAAGCCCCTACCTGACACGCGCCCAGCGCGCATGGCGCCGTACCAGCCAGAGCTACATTTATGATACAGGCCCTGGACGGAAGGCCGGCGAAAGCGGCTCGATCCGGATCTAGCCGGTTGCGTCTGGTTTCCCCGGTGATACAACCAGTCGAGGAAGCTCTCCCGCCATGAACTTTTCGCCCCTGTGCAGCTGTGTAGTGGAATATGCATTTTGCATAGCAGAAGGGATGGTGGAGGACGTAATGTGACTCGTGCCTGACTAACAAAAAAAAGTTCGAAAGGCTAGGAACCCAGCTTATATAAACATTGTTCGTACATTTTGGAACAAGAGTGCAACTTGCTGTGAAGAAACCCTTAGGCCAAAGCGATCTGCGGCTAGGGGCCGTCCATGTATTACGCTATGCGTAAAGGAAGAAGGGGTTGGGGGTGGAGCGTAACCGAATCGTACGAGCACAGGGGAATAGCATGACATTTTGAACAGGTGTGGTCACAAGTCATACCTTAGGCATTGTGTTGTATCTTAAAACCTTTATGCCAGATACTGTCTGCTTCCTCTAAGAACAAGCATCAAGTTCATCTTTGTTTCGCACTTCTAGCCTAATTAGGGGCCGGACGAACGTTAACTTTTTTTTGGGGGGGGGGGGAGGGCGTCACATTTATCATCGTATCCAGGGGCCGGGGGTCTTAGCCAGCGTCATTAGAGCGCAACCAGGGGAAAGGGTTGAAAATGGTCAAAATGCATGACACACTACTTGCGTCTTTTGCGATTCTATCTTTGGACCATAATAAACACTGCTCATAAATACAATGTGTAGTTGGTAGTGAAAATGGTCAGCATACTTCTTATGGCAAGTGGGGCATCATCCATGTGCGCTCAACAGCTTGATCAGGGACAGATCGAGACGAGGGCATGTCGTCAGGCCTCCTCTCATTTGAGTCATTCTCAAGGTTTAAGTGCGCCGAAGGGGTGCTACAGGGCTGTTGCCAAGGGTTGCCAATGCGCCCCATGAGGTGCACCTGAACGCTAGTGCCCTCACCTCGTGTGATGAACCCTGCACATGTGAACACCCACGTCCGAAGACAGGCACCGTGACTGTGGCGCGTGATACGTCAGTCCAGCCGCGTCCAGCGCGCAAGCCACCGCTGAGCAGCGCACGTGCGCCTCCTCCTGGCCCCGCTTGGACTGCGACCGGTCAACGCGGGTGGGACAGAAGCGTGTGAACAAGCGCTCAAACCGAGCGCGCAGCCACTGGCACGTGCGCGCAGCCGCATCGGAAACGCATTCGGTAACTGCACTCTGCGCCACGCGTGTTGATCGGAGAACTATAACCGGAGAGCGAGGACTATGTCCAACACTTCACCTCACACGAACGAACGCGTAGTACGCTGAGTCGACGAACCAAGGCAGATTCAGCTTGTCCACAATCGTTTACAGTGTGCTCCCAGTTCAACACATACTGCTTGTGCAAACGTTCCACCTTTAGCAAAAGCGATTTTCGCGGCGGTGCTGAGCACGCGCACGGTCATGTTCAACTCACGCGGGCTGCGGGGACAGGGCGGTCCGCAGCTGCCACCGGCGAACGGACTGGTTGGAGCTCCTGCCGCGCCACTGGCCGCGTCCGAACCGTCTGCGGCGGTCCGCTCAGTTCCACGCGCCGGCGGCGGCCACCGACTGCGCCACACACTTGGCCTGCGGCGGCGGCGGAGGGGGGGGGGGGGGGGGGCCGGCGTCGTCGTCGGCGCACGTTCGGCCGATGGATCTGATCCAAGGACGCCACGCCACGGACATGAGTTTTCGCCGGCAGCTGCTGCATTCCTGTGCAGGCCGACCGGTCTTAACAACCTGATTTCTCAAGTTTTGTTATTAATGTATGTTTTGTTGTTAAGCGTAACTTGTGATTTTCAACAGATGTTGAGAAGGAGAAATCCCAAAGATGTGGCCTGTCATCTAATTTACCTAATTTATTCTTAAGCTCTCATTCCTTCTCGAATATAGGCCACTTTCTTTTTACGTTCAGACGAAAAAGGCCAAAACGTTGTAGCAAGCTATGATATACTCAGGAATGTGCACAACAGCGCTTTTGTGGAGATCACAGGCAGCCGGAACCAAAGGAGATGTTCTACATTTGCATGGGGTTTTGAACTGGGATAGCCATCTTGAAGATCGTTCGGCAGCAATTGCAGTCCTGCCCTTCTTATGACCTAAATCTCTCTAGTTTTTTAGCAACACGCCCGCGAAAATGTACCGACTATTTCGCGCAGGCTTTTTCCGGCCACCCAGGTATCCATGACACCATGATAACGTCATTCGATCCCGTCATTCTATTGTCCATGTGGCGATCAAGGCCAGCACAAATATTCTCCAGTCGCTCATATCGAGCGTTTGTGAACACGATTTCCGGATAAAATAGCCGTCAACTGGCTCTCGATCAATGCTGTGCAAGGTACGATGATGCAACCAAACAATGACTTGTCGAGGAGAATTTGGAGGATTTATCAAATAGATCAATTGTGTGGTCTCGAGCAGTCTCCTTGACTTAAAAGTATAGCCATAGTTATGTGAATTTATCTAACCATATATGATACCTGCTGCATCATCTTCAAATATGAAGCATTTCCTTTAAAGGGAATGTTCTACGTTTGAACATAACGAAGCAGGCATCATATGCGATGAAACAAGCTCACTTTTAACTACTGATGCACTTTTGAAGTGGAAAAGACCGCTTGAGTCAGCACAATTATCTGTTTAGGAAATATACTTTTCAGTGCTTCGTGATTTGAGAACGTCATTGTACCTTGCACAACACTGATTGAGAGCCAGACGACTGCCGCTATGTCTGAAAATCGCGCCCCCGAAGGTCAGATGTGATCGCCTCGACAATCACTATTTTTCATGGCCTCGATTGCCGCATGGCTTGTGGAATGGCAGGATTTGAATGACGTAATTATGACGTCATGAATGTCAAGGTGACCTTCAAATACTCTACCCGATCTATCTTTCCCCATGTTCGCGGGCGTGTAGCGCAGATACTAGAGGGGCTTAGTCTAAAGAAGGGCAGGACTGTGAACAGCACGGAACGGTCTTCAAGATGACTATTTCGGTTCAAACCCCCATATATACGTTGAACACTCCCATAAAGCTGCCATATACCCCAAAATAAAGGTTTGTGAAACTTCAGGCATATCTTACATTCTAAGGTATAGGCGCCTCATCGCTCAACGAAGCGCTCACACGTACTTCAAGCGTTACAATCTCTCGCGATGGTAGGAAGGTACGAAAATGCTGACACATCGAAAAGTTATTTTGTCAGACCCGGAAAATGTGGGTTATGAGCTCGTGACACATGGGCCAGCAAAGGCCAAAATTTCCCTGTTTGCTTGCCGAAAATTCCCTTTACTATATCGCATCATCAAAACGAATCATACTCATCGACGCGTTGTAGTCAATCCCAGGGAAAGCATACATGGTACGTGTGCTTCATATGAGCATCATGACCCACAGGTCAACGAGGCCCAAAATTGCCCATACGGGGTTGAAGTGGCTTCTAATAAGTCAGCAAAGAAACAAGGACAATTTCTAACTTTGGCGACCAGCACATCGCGACGTTCATGGTCCGCATATGTCTTTGCCTCTGGCGAACACGTCCGACGCGACGACTCGGCGTCGAACGTGCGAGATGTCGCACTTGTGTGACTCCACATAATCACACTTATTATGTGACCCCACCCGACGTGACGGCGTCACGCTGTGATTGCGTCACGGCGAGGGATTATGTCACGTCTGGTGGAGTATCTCCTTGCGTAACGTAATCAAGAAAGGCATTGAACTCCTGGCTCATTGGCATCCTTATGAATTTGGCGATTTTGTGCCGAGGATGAATAATCTTCAGTATTCAGATAGGTATTGGTTAAACAACATTTTCAAGCAAGCGTGCATCCCATCGAGAAAGCTCGACGTTTCGGAACTGCTTTCATGGTCACGAGTGCACAGGGTTGAGGAAATAAGAGAGAAAAATATTTGAAGCATATGATATGTGAAATACAGAAAATGCGCCGAACCTATACCGACGCTGTCATAAAACACCACCCTGCCGGCATTGCGATTGGTCCGTCCAATAGTTCAGTTGGTTAGAGCACCCGCCTTCCGTTTCACGCACCTGTGCCGGGGAAGCTTGAAGTTGCTTTAGGCGCTTGCTATTCGCCGTTGACAGTTATGGCTTGCGGCCGGCGACAGCTGCCGCGCTAAAGGTCACGTGACGTCAGGGAGCAGGACAGACCGTGCCGAGCATTGGGAGTACGTTAAACTTTCGCCACTTAATTCTGCCGTTGGCCTAGAATTTCGCAATTGTGTGGTGGGATTCAGAGGCCACATAGGCACTGTTTAGCATGAGCTCTGATCATAGAAATCCATCTATTAAAAAGGTACTGATCGAGCTTTAAACACACGTCACAGTTTGTGCGAAAGGCTACACAAAACATCGTTGGATAAGCCTGAAGGTTACGATGACCCATGTCGAGTACGAGGTCAAACAGTGACGTGCCACGAACATCAGGCATCACGAACATTGCGGAAACATCACAAAAATTATGGTCATTCAGGCTGTCAAATCTTAACACCTAATAAACGATGTTGTGCTGAGGGATGCCCAAAGCATAGGCAGCTAAACCGAACTGCTTCGGTGACCCGTAACAAGTGTCAAGATGCGAAGAAACTTGCCAGAGGGAGTCAGTGTGCATCACAACGACCAGACAAGAGTCTCTAGGCGTGCGTAACCTAAACAACGCTGCTGAAGCCGAGTCACAAGACAACAGCTCTCCTTGTGTGGTGTACGCTCTCCGTAAACGTGCATCTCCAATGTGTTTGTTAAGGTCACGAACGCTACGGTTTGTTTCTCCATGTCCAAACGAAGCGTAGCGATTATGAAACAAAATGCTAGGAAAACAAACCGTAGCGCTCTTGACCAGTCTGATCAACACCCCGAAGATGAACGTTTACGGAAAGCATACACACCACGAGAGAAGCATACCCTAGACCGACATGCGGCGTTAGTCGAATTTTACAGCAAAAATTTAGCAACAGCGAAAAACAATGTGGATCTAAAGATGTGAGGATTGCTCCATACCAGTAATCTTTGTCCGAGGCTGGCCATACAAATGCCGTTTTTGGACTCGGTTTTAGCAACGTTGTTTAGGTTATGTACTTTTATGTACGTTTATGTACGTTTAGGTTATGCATGTTAACGTTGTGTTCTCAAGTTGTGGGTAACAATTGCGTCCGGGGGAAAGTTTCGTTCTATCCTCATACTCGGTCATCGGAAGCTTTTGGTCTAGCCGCGTGTGTTCGGTAACGCACAGTACCGCGTATTCGGTGTTAGAGCGTGAGGGCCCGATCGGCTGAAATGTCCGTGATGTTCGTGCAACGTTCGCGATGCCTGATGTCCGCGGAAAGATGTTTTCTAACTATATGCTGGGTTAAGAGAATGTCGTTTAAACAGCAGTCCCTGCTATATTGATGGACGATTATTTTTAGCGTAGGGATTTCCAGCTCATAGCAGTTCTTTGACATTACTAATTGACGGGCAGATGGTTTCTGAGTGTGTTGGTATTTTTCCTGAGCTTGTCAGCAGTTTACTATCCTGTTTAGGTGTCCTCGCCGACCAGGATCGCCAGATTGCCCGTACTTCGCACGATCTGTTTTATTTCGCCTCCGACCGCAGCAGTCCATGTAATTCGAGCAATCAAAATATAAACCAGCAGAATCATTACAAGCATGAAAAGCACTTATTGTTGATATGCTTGTCCTAATCTGACGACCCATTTATACCAGTCAAGTCTTATTCGATGGAATTTGAAGCTTCTGACTTAACTAGGTGCTGACCGGGCTGCTCAGCGGCACACTATTGAGCGGAGGGGGGCAGATTTGATCCCTTGCTTATATCAAGAACGGCTGGACCGAATTCAAAACTTTCGGTTGCAACTGATAGCGCCGTGATGTACGTTCTTGGAGACACATCAAACATAAGTTTAAGTGAGTATTCAGGTCACAGGTCTAGGTTACATAATAAAAACGTTATGTTGGAATGTGTGACCGCTTCCTCAAGGCACTTCATTAAGAAACGAATTCCATGGTGCCAAATCATTGCACCCTGGTCAAACATGCTACATAGAAAGGTGTCCAATGCTACGCGCGCCGCACAAGGCCTAGAACGAAGGTCATGTGCCGTGCAAATAAGAACTGAAACCTTGGTCTATATGTTTATTTTGGTCTAGTCATTTCCGTTATATTTGAACCATATAAACGCGAAGCGGAATATCTTGGCTACAATTATGGGTATCAGACGCATGAGCAAGGGCTGTTGCTCGTTCATGTATAGAAGGCTATTGATAATGGCTTCCAGGGCCGGCTTTCAGCCGGCCCGGTCAGCGGTTGACCGGCGCGGCCGGCTGTGTTTATGCCTGCGGGCATTGACTACGTGACCTGGCCGAGGTCGCTTGTGCTAGCCAGAGGGGCTGCAGACGGGAGGTAGGGAAGGCCGGGCGTGGCCGGGAGCTGAGTTTGTCCAGGAGAGCGACTGTAATACAAGTGACCTAATAAATCTGGGTCTGCACAAATTGTTTATGATCAGTGTCAAATGTCAAAAAATGTCAAATGTCATCTCAGTGATGAATAAGCGGTTGGATCTATTTCCATGTTCTTTTCGACAGTTCATTCCTGCCGACAGGGCAGCCTGATAGCCTTCAACCCCGCCGTCACTCACGTGGTCGTCGGTTTGCGTGTGAAACTGATAAACGGTTTCCACCACCCCGTCAACGCGCCGCTGCGACTGACCTAAGCCCCGCCGCCCGCCGCTGCGCACCCAGGCCTACCTCGGCATGGGCAACACGCGCTGTGATGCATTGCAAGCCATAAGTCCAGTCATTTTTTACAGATCATTGCTTGAAGATTGATACAAACGTCATTCATAGTCGTATCTAAGATATATTTGTCATGTCTTCATAATATTGAGTCTGAGACAAAAAAATGATGTCCTTTCTATAAATACTTCTGATATTTGGCACACCAACATTTCAAAGTGCAATATTGAAACAACACGACAAAGAAATGCATGATGGACTAATTGGCTCACAGTTCCCGTTGACAGATGTAAAGCATGTTCTTTCGTTCGACTCCTGTGTCAATTGGTCTACGGCTCTGCACTAAAAAATCGGCTAACATAACGTCACTTTGACGCTCCTCACGCCTGATCTATCATGTTCTCATAAATGTTATTTTGACACCAGACGTAGAATTAATCAATAAATAGGTACTGAAAATTTCGCAGCGTCATCTCAAGGCGTGTTCAAATTATCACGTTATTGGAAGGGGGTAGATTTATCTCCCCCCCCCCGCTACCCGCGGTCATTGCCGGGTTAAAATGGTAATTTAACCGAGCATTGACCAAGAATGCCACGACGGTGGTACAGCGACGGCAATTGGAGAAGTTTTTTAGTGCCAAGAGAGTAGTACAGCGAGGGAAACTGGAGGAGTCTAAGCCTCTTAGGGTAAGGCATGCTTGGTGCCTCCTTACTTCATGGACAAGACGGGAAGCTCGTCGCTGAGCCCGGTCAGCCGCCTCTGGTCCAGTCTGCTGAACGGGCCCCAGATGATGTTGCTAATACACATACACACACACATCAATACATGATGTTGCAAATACAGGTGTACTAAGATCTCGAATGGCAGTGGCAGCGTGTGAACATCGAAGCTGCCAAAAGACCGCCTAACGACCGCCAGCATCTGGTTAGTCTTCGAGATCGCCTTTGCCGTCTGCTCGTGGAACTTGAGCTTATGATCCAAGAAGATCCCGTGGTCCCTTTCGGCAGACTCGACCACGATTTCGGCGCCATCCAAAGAAGAGGGCCAGTCTCGGGTCGCAGCTCCCGATAGGCGTTGCTTTGCACTTAATTGCACCAAAGGGGAGCAGCCACACCTTTGACCACTTGGCTGGGGCGTCGATGTCTACCTGAAGAGGTGAGTCAGTCAGGGGCCTCGGGACACGACGGTAGACCATGGTGTCATCCGCGAACATCTTGACCACGTTTCGCACTTGATCTGGTTGGTCGTTCACGAAGACCATGAACAGCGTTGCCCCCAGTACTGATCCTTGCGGGATACCGCTGATGACGTCGATCCAATCCGACTTCGAGCCCTGGACCCGCACTCTCTGCATCCGGTGGGTAAGGAGAGCCCTAAACCAGCGCAGCAAGGTGCCTCTCACGCCGTAGGCATAGATCTTGAAGAGCAGACGCTTATGAGGCACAGAATCAAAGGTTTTGCTGAGGTCCAGGTGCACCACGCCCACCGGCTCTCCAGCCTCTACCGCGTCGCTCCAATCTCCCATAACTTCTAATAGCTGGTCGATGCAGGAACGCTTCGGGAGAAACCCATGCTGAACTTCTTGAAGAAGTCCTGATTCTATACGTGATTAATTAGGGCATCTCTGACGAAAATTCGAGATCTTGGAGGGAACGACAGAAGTTCTCGTATCTTGGATTCTGGTTTTCCGTTCTCTTGGAGGGGACGACGGTAGTTCTTGTACCATCTGACACCTGACGTCTGATATCTGACAAATTTTACTCTAGATAAATCACCCAATAGATGACGAATTTCTTGGATGTGTCTTTTGCGCCGAACGATGCACTTTTGGCTACGCAATGCATATAAAATAGTTGTTTTGGTGCCTTGACATCTTGGCCTTACGATGTCAGCATTTTAGTACAGATGGCCTTGATGTTTGTGTGAGCCTTGGCTATATTGTGCTATCTTGAAGAGAACAGTGGTGTTGTGTACGAAGGGCATTAGCCCCGCGCGAGCTGGCAATTGGCGATAAATACTTTGGCGGACGTGACAGAGGTGCCAGGTAAATGCAATCCTTTTTATGTGCATTGTGAACGCGGATCGCCATTGTTTCATAGGTTGAGTTTGACACGTGCCTGGTGCACCAGAAACCCTATCTGCAAACCATCACAACCATGCTAACAAGATGTTTGAGGGAGACAAAGTCCTGCCCCAAATGAGAATTACTGTTCCATTTGTGGATAAATAGTTTGAACCTTTCTTACCTCTGAAAACATGACTCAATATTATATCTGGTCATCTTTTTGGTGATCATGCCATGTTTTGTATGTCCTAGGGCAGGTGGTGCAGTCATTGTAATTCAATAATTTGTTTCCCAAATTAATTATTTGCTGCCAAGAATTAGAAGTTGTATCCAAACCTTGCCCCAATGAGATCTCATCCAAATCTGCCATGCCCTGCAGACTGGCCAGCAGCCAAACCAAATTTGATGTTGTTATTTGACAGCCAGACAAGTTTTGTTGACATACAGCTTGATAGAATGTTGGATGTTTTCCATCAGCTGTGATCAACACATAAAAGCAAAGTTGTAAGAGTATAAATGTGGGAATGCTGTGAGTAAATTAGGTCGCAACATTCGCTCAACAAATTTGTGGAATACCAAAAGTGGCTGCTCAAATTCCCCTAAATAAGACCATCCTGCAATGCCCAAGCCTGCAAAATGTATAGCAGGCTCTGCTTACCTGTGCCATTTGTGAACCATTGAGTATTTTTGATACAATTTCTGTAAAAAGACGCAGTTGAATGCCCTGGTCCATATAGAACTGGCCTGGCCTGCTGCAAACTCATTAGTTCAGTCTTGGGAATTCTAGACTACAAAGATGCATAGTTAGAATAGTTGAAATATAAAAGGACCTAATAAGCCAAGCATTCATGGCCAGGTCCCCAAGGTAGCTAAAAGTAACTGTCTTTTTGTACTAATTTTAGGCTGGTATGACAATTGAAAGGATTATCCAAACTCAAAATCTAGCCTAGAATAAGCCGAGCACATCATAATCTAGACTAGACTAAGAGATGGACAGAGGCAGATCTAGGATTACCAGCTCTGTCTGTGTCCACAACTATTGAATTAACAGTGCTCTAAAGAATGGACATATTGCTTTGAAATACAATGGGGAAGTCAACCATGCTTGGATTAAAATGCTTACAATGCATTTTCCTGTTAGTCTTGGTCAGGATTTGTCTGCAAATTAAGACATGTAGGTAAGGTACCTAATCAAGGTCTGGTAAGACAGATAAATATATAATGAACTCTAACTCTTGTTCAGGTTCTGGCACCTAGCTAGCTGGTATATATATATATATATATATATATATATATATATATATATATGTTTATTGATATAAATGTATATACAAAAGACATAAATGCTAACTAAATAGTACCTTGTTTTTCAGACACACCATGAGGCCAATAGTGTGAGAGCAGATTACTGCTCTGTGCACCAGCCTGTCAACACTGGCACTCGACAAGCTCTCAGCAGGCATCTTGCCTCAGATGCCAGCCCAGCCCTGCTTCATGCCATGATGGCAGCTGACGACCGGGAGCTGATCGCGCGGACGGCGGCGGCGCTGCGGGACACCTGCGACCGCCTGCTGAACGGCGACGCGGCGCTGTGCCTGTCCGCCGCCGCCGTGCGCGTGCTGCACGCCAACTTCGCCGCCATCGCGCCCGACGGCGGCGGCGGCGGCGGCGCCGAGTTTGAGGCGCTGTCCGGCTCGTCGCTGGTCCAGAGTGACGCACTGCTCGACCTGCAGTTCCTCTATGACGTGGCTCAGCTGACTCGCCGGCTGTGCGTGACGGCCGGCTCGGCCGCCGCCGGGCCGCTGCAGCTGTCCGCCTTCCGGCAGCTGCAGCGGCTGCAGCTGGAGGCGGTGCCGGTGAGCGAGGTGCGCGGATTGCAGGCGCGCCGGCCCTACCTGCGCGCGCTGAGCTGCGCTGGCGGCCTGGCCTCGCTGGCCGAGCTGCTGGCTGGCTGCGGCGGCGACGGCAGCTCGCCCTTCCTCTGGGAGGAGCTGACCGAGGTGCGGCTGACGCGCTGCCGCTTCGAGGCGCTCGACGAGTCGGTGCGCCTGGTGCCGCACGTGTGCCTGCTGGACCTCAGCCAGAACCGGCTTGTGGCTACCGACGGGCTCGAGTACCTGGCCGGCCTGCAGCACCTCAACCTGGCACACAACCAGCTCAGCGGTCTGCCCCAGCTCTGCATGCCCGCCTACCTGGCGCTCCGCTGGCTCTCGCTCAGTAGCAACAAGCTCGAGTCACTCGATGGTAGGTCCATTGCTGAACTGCAACTCATAACTTTATCAAAGTGAGTTTTTAAAAGATGTTGTGCACGCTGCCTTATGAGCGTGCGATTGACTGATGTTGCCCCTAGATGTTTGCAGGTTCCAGTGGATGGGTACAGTACCGACTTAGATACGGTTGATACGATGCACTTAAACTAGAAAGCCTGCTCACACATTACAGCGATAAGGCCCATCAAAGGATGCGTGTTGAAACATCTTGAGTTCATAACATCCGAACGTCGTAACAGTCAAATCACCCAAAATCGCAACGTCCTGCCGCCATACCATCCAAAAATCGTTCAAGCCCCTGGGCAGGGGAGAAGCACAGCACCCAAGGCTGCAGCCTCCAACAGCAACATCCAAAGCTAATAACGTCCAGCATTGATGACGTCCAAAGGTTTGAAAACAGTCGATTTAAGCTAATCAACTGGATGTCGTGATTGCCGCATGTTACGAACATTGGGTATTATGACTTTGGATATTGCGAGCTTGGATGCCATGAATTCCGCCAGTCGGAGCGGAATTGGGTGCACTTTGGATGTTATGAACACTGGATGTTGTGATTTAGGATGATATGAGCTATGCTGCAATTTTGGACATTTGAAGGCTTCCCCCGCCGAAACTCGTCCTTCGACGTACATGTGTAGGGAAGTCTCCCTGAGTCAGGGGCACTGTCCCGGCAGCAATCCGGGGTTTTTCCACTTGTCGTCGGTTGCCGGTGCTGCCTGCATTGCTGCCCGACCGTGCGCTGGCCACGGTTGCGCGTGACGCCGCCCGACCTCTGCTAACAGGCCTGCAGGAGATGGTGGTGCTCGAGCACCTGGACGTCAGCTTCAACTTCCTGCTGTCGCACGCGCTGTTGGGGCCGCTGTTGGAGCTCGGACGGCTCCGGACACTTCACCTGCGGGGTAACCCTCTGTGCTGCTACAGCGACCACCGGCTCCGCACCGCCCGCGCCCTGCACCCCCTCTGCCAGACGGATCAGGTACTGCACCGACTCCGCAGGGGCGCCAGCCGGCATCGTAAGAACCTCTTGGATATCGTCTACGCTCTGCTTGGCTCCACAGTGACAGCTTGGCTAGCCACAATTGTTTGTGTCACTTCGTCCGCAGTGTGCTACAGCTTGCCCTGTGCTGGTCCGTCCCCCGCGTGTCTCGGTTCGGGTTGCCTGTGCTCGCCCGCGCCGTGTGTCTCAGTTCAGGTTACATCATTCCGTCCCCAGTGTGCTGCAGCTCGCCCTGTGCCGGCCCGTCCCGCGCGTGTCTCGGTGCAGGCTGTTTCATTCCGTCCCCCGCGTGTCTCGCCTCACCCTGTGCATCGGCCCGTGCCCACCGCGTTTCAGTTCTGGCTGGACGGCTGGCGCCTGGAGCGGTCTGAGCTGCCGCCGCGCCAGCGTGCGCCGGCGACGAGGCCGGCGCTGCCCTCCGCGGGACCGTCGCCTGGGCCCGTGCGCACCGCGCTCAGCAGCGCGGCCCGGCCCGGCTCGCTCGACACCCGGCCGCCGCCCATAGGTCAGCACCGGCCTCGGTTCAGGCGGCGTCGCTCGGTCCCGGCGTGTGGTGCGGCTCACCCTGTTGTCATGCGCTGTGACAAGGCGTGACGGGTGGTCCACTGGGCCAGCAAAACTGGCTTGGTACTGAGGTGCCAATGGTTGTCCCCTTGCGAGGTGGTGCGTGTTGTTGGCAGCAGGCACGCGTGGCTAGAATTTTCGTCCGCTAGATATGAGAAAAAAGGTCTTCAGCTCCTGGCTTTTCGGGATTGTCAGTTCAAAGTTCTTGTTTGAGTCGATGACCTTTATATGCAAGGAGGTGTGTGCTGGCAAGGCTATCTAACGGATGCTGGGTAAACGGCGTCGTGCCAGAGAACGTGTGTATTTAACGGTGCTTGATATTTGATGCTGCGCTCATCCTCATCGTGGCAAGGATTCAGAAAGGGTTAGCAAAAATGTTACGTTAAAATGAGGCACGCGAATCCAGAAATTCTCTATATCTGCGCAGGCACTACCACTGAAAGATATCAAAAAAGATTACTAATCCAAGCTCCCAGCACCTCATATACAGTTCAGTGTTGAGTGCTGCAAAACAAAAGAAAAATACAGGTTACTGAGTCAGGAAAGTCCGACACAGAGTATTAGATGAGGGCGTCACTTACCGCGATCATCAACCACCTCCAAAATTCCTTAAACTTTGGGAACGTACGTAACCTAAACCCAAAAATGTGAAAAATAGGCATTCATGTGCACGTTTAGCCTAGGGAGAAGAATCCGAATGCGCAGCAGTCTATTCTGAGGTTGGTTTTCGTTGCGCTATGCTCCAATGCTGCGTGTCGATCTGCCATGTTTTCTAGTGGTGCGTACCCTCTCTGCAAACGTGCGTCTCCAAAGTCTGGTCCACGAATGCTACGCGTTATTTCCCGTACATGAAATATCCCTGGGCAAAGGCTACAGGATATCTTGCATACTACGCTCTTCCGTATGCATTTCTATTTCAGCCCATTCACACATGCATGGCAAACCTCATTCTGGACATATTGCGGTCTCTGGCGCTGATCGGACGAGTATGGACTTTAAACCAGGACCGCTAGTCCGCATGGACTTTGTCTGCGGGCCTGTAGCGGAGGTGTTTGTGCTTGCGGCTGCGCGCTTGTTTGCTGCCTGTAGTGGAATCGCTCCTGAAGTGCTCAAGTGCGCCAAATACCGTTGGGCATGGATTGGTGCGTGGGGCAGTCTGGGACGCACAGAAGCCGTGACCCCTCTGGCGCATACGCTTACGCCGGTCCCCGGTCGGCCCGGCAGGCTCTGGCGGCAGTACGCCGGGCTCCCGACGACGGCGCACCAAGAGGCGCTCGCGGGTGAACCTGGCCGATATCTCCGACCTGGGCTCGACCCGGCCGGCTGCCGTCCTCACCACGTCCGGCAGCCTGAGCGACCAGACGTCCAGCCTCGACGGCAGAGGTGCGCCGCGGCCTCCCGCCCGAGCGCCGCCGCTCTCATGGCCGTGCAGAGGCTGCTCAGAGTGGCGGAGCGCATGGGAGACTTCTCGTAAATCAGCTGTTAGATGTCTGTAGATCTCTCATAGAGCGCAGGATGTGCGCGTAAAATGACCCGGTCCGTCGGCGCGGCCCTTGCGCCCTAATCATCTTGGAGCTCAGATCTGTTATGGATGATCTGTGTCCCGAGACGTGATGTGTTTTCATAAACTGTGGCGTGGTTCGTCCTTTTCTTTCACTTTTGTTCGCTTCTTCTTTCCGCCTTGCTGTTCACTTAACAGACATGCATTTTGTTTGAAAACTGACGTCTGAATTATCAAATAATATGACAACGCAACGCTGCAGTTCAAGCACACGAAAGTGATGGCGTTCTAAGTAGGCCCGTATGCGCTGGGCTGGTCCTAGCACCAGCGTCTGTGCGCTCTGACCCGTTCGAAGTACTGGCCTCGGCTGTCACATGTACATCTGTCTGTGCTGTGGTGCGCGGCGCGGCTCCGTGATCACTGCGATTTGACGCTCGCCGTCACAGCAGAGCTACCGTCACACCTGGCCACGCGGGAGCAGATCGAGGGACTCCGCCAGCAGCTGGGCGCCTGACTGGCTGCACAGCCGCGGCGGCACGCTGGTGCAGCAGCTGCTGGGCCTGCCAGAGCAGCCTCCGCCCACCTTCACCGTCGGCAGCCTGGCCGGTCAGTGCTGGCCCGCTTGCCCCTCCCCCCCCCCCCCCCCCCCCCCGGTGGGGGCCACAGGCCCGGCCCGCCCCGTAGACGGCTCATGTAGAGAGTCATTGTTTGTAGTTTTACGAGATGTTCGACACTTGGTGTGAGTAAAAATTGAGTGATTAATCGCAGTATTGCTTTCGATAGTGTTACAGTTAGTTGTTACAGCTATAGCTGACACGAATTTTCGGCGGATGACTGTTGCGCACATCATCAGGTGTTATTTGATCACGAGAAAGGGTTTGTAATCTTTAGGCACATTGTCACGTTCTTATCAAAGCCAGAAGGTTTTGAGTAGCTTCTAGCTTGGGGCGTCCAATTGCACGGATCTTATAACTTACAGATTGTGGGTCAAAGGCTCGAATCCTCGAAAAGTTTTGAAGCTTGTTTAACTTTTAGACATGCGCAGCAATTCTTGTACTCTTGTGAACAAGCTCGAAGCTACCGGAAACGTTGGAGGCTCTGGTACAGACATGACTTTATGCCAAACAAACCCGGATCTGCCCGGAACCAACATCCCACAGCTTCGTCGGGGTCCACGTGCCGTGCAATCCTGCGACGCGGCGGCCCCAAACCAGGCGGACTATCTGGTCATTTGCCATATGGCTTCCCCATGTCAGTTGGGCCGAACGAGGAGCCTGTTCCAGGAGCCGCACCCGTCACGACTCCAGCACAGCAGGCTGCGACCGGAGCGGCATGCTCAGCGTCGCGGCCGTGTGTTTTCAGACAGCGACTCGGGCGGCGGCGCGCCACCGTCGGCCGAGCGCCAGTCGCCGGTGGGGGCCGAGCAGCCGGCGGCGGCCGCCTCCAGTCCGGCGCGCGCCTCGGTCCCGGAGCAGAGCCTCTACCCCAGCCGGGACGCCGACCTGTCCTGGGAGAACGAGTCCTCCTCCGAGGACGATGAGGGTGGGTAGCCACGCGCCTCGGCGACGCTGACCTGTCCTGGGAGAACGAGTCCTCCTCCGAGGACGACGAGGGTGGGTAGCCGCGCGTCTCGGCGACGCTGACCTGTCCTGGGAGAACGAGTCCTCCTCCGAGGACGACGAGGGTGGGTAGCCGCGCGCCTCGGCGACGCTTACCTGTCCTGGGAGAACGAGTCCTCCTCCGAGGACGATGAGGGTGGGTAGCCACGCGCCTCGGCGACGCTGACCTGTCCTGGGAGAACGAGTCCTCCTCCGAGGACGATGAGGGTGGGTAGCCGCGCGCCTCGGCGACGCTTACCTGTCCTGGGAGAACGAGTCCTGCTAGGACGATGAGGGTGGGTAGCCGCGCGCCTCGGCGACGCTTACCTGTCCTGGGAGAACGAGTCCTCCTCCGAGGACGACGAGGGTGGGTAGCCGCGCGTCTCGGCGACGCTGACCTGTCCTGGGAGAACGAGTCCTCCTCCGAGGACGACGAGGGTGGGTAGCCGCGCGTCTCGGCGACGCTGACCTGTCCTGGGAGAACGAGTCCTCCTCCGAGGACGACGAGGGTGGGTAGCCGCGCGCCTCGGCGACGCTGACCTGTCCTGGGAGAACGAGTCCTGCTAGGACGATGAGGGTGGGTAGCAGCGCGCCTCGGCAGTGCCGGCGTCACCGGCTCGTGACACCTCCCGCTTCTGGTACGAGGAAGCGGTGCACGCGAAGATCGGTCATTTATAAAGATTGGCCATCTCGCCAGTGATAATGTGTTGTGGGCGTTAGACGCGGCGCAGGCTGTTAGTTTCCGTGCGCTCCTGTTTTGCGTCGAGGTGGAGACTGTCCGGCAGTGCCCCTCCTGTGATCGTCGCCGTCCGCCTGCCACAGAGGATGTGAGCTGTCTGGTGGTGGCTCGGAGGATCTTGCGCCGCCAGCTGGAGGAGGACGTCATGATCACCGTCACGGACACGGCACTCAAGGAGAAGGAGCTGGACGCCGGTCGCACCGTGGCTGAGGTCAGGCGACGCAGCCGGTCTGCAGTGGCTTAGGGCAGGGGACGCAGCCGGTCCGCAGTGGCTGAGGTCAGGCAACGCAGCCGGTCTGCAGTGGCTTAGGGCAGGGGACGCAGCCGGTCTGCAGTGGCTTAGGGCAGGCGACGCAGCCGGTCCGCAGTGGCTTAGGGCAGGCGACGCAGCCGGTCCGCAGTGGCTTAGGGCAGGGGACGCAGCCGGTCTGCAGTGGCTTAGGGCAGGGGACGCAGCCGGTCTGCAGTGGCTTAGGGCAGGCGACGCAGCCGGTCTGCAGTGGCTTAGGGCAGGCGACGCAGCCGGTCCGCAGTGGCTTAGGGCAGGGGACGCAGACGGTCCGCAGTGGCTTAGGGCAGGGGACGCAGCCGGTCCGCAGTGGCTTAGGGCAGGGGACGCAGCCGGTCCGCAGTGGCTTAGGGCAGGGGACGCAGCCGGTCCGCAGTGGCTTAGGGCAGGGGACGCAGCCGGTCCGCAGTGGCTTAGGGCAGGGGACGCAGCCGGTCCGCAGTGGCTTAGGGCAGGGGACGCAGCCGGTCTGCAGTGGCTTAGGGCAGGGGACGCAGCCGGTCTGCAGTGGCTTAGGGCAGGCGACGCAGCCGGTCTGCAGTGGCTTAGGGCAGGCGACGCAGCCGGTCCGCAGTGGCTTAGGGCAGGGGACGCAGGCGGTCCGCAGTGGCTTAGGGCAGGCGACGCAGCCGGTCTGCAGTGGCTTAGGGCAGGCGACGCAGCCGGTCCGCAGTGGCTTAGGGCAGGGGACGCAGGCGGTCTGCAGTGGCTTAGGGCAGGGGACGCAGCTGGTCCGCGGTGGCTTAGGGCAGGGGACGCAGGCGGTCCGCAGTGACGGAGGGCAGGGGACACAGACGGTCGGCAGTGGCTGAGGTCAGGCGACGCAGCCGGTCCTCAGTGGCTTAGGGCAGCGGACGCAGGCGGTCCGCAGTGGCTTAGGGCAGGGGACGCAGGCGGTCCGCAGTGACGGAGGGCAGGGGACGCGGACGGTCCGCAGTGGCTTAGGGCAGGGGACGCAGGCGGTCCGCAGTGGCTGAGGTCAGGCGACGCAGCCGGTCTGCAGTCGCTTAGGGCAAGGGACGCGGTGTGGATGGCTGAGCCATTATAGTACTCAGGGGACAGGGCCACAGCGAGATCCTGTCTACACGCTGTGTGACGGGTATTTTGTGCGAACAGAAAAGGGCAAATACAATGGTTGCGTCACTCGGAGGTTAACTGTCCTGAACGAGTTGCGTGTTTTCGTGGCTTCTTCCTTTGCGTGACCTTGCACTGGTTGACATGACTTTTTACGTCCCTGCGTCATAGTATGACCCTGTTTCGCTCGTCTTTGAAGCTATTTTCTGCGCATTTACGTTCGATCTTCTGCACCTGCAGTGGGATTTGCAAAGTGTGGAAGGCGTGTCATATCACCAAGATGGAGCCGCTGACAGTGCAGCTAAACTTCGACTACGGTGAAGAAGGAGAAGCAGGAGCGCAACTACCTGATGGAGCAGTCCGAGTGGGAGGTGGGGACCTCGTCCTGGCTGTGACCGCCACCACTGTGTCCGTCAGGAGCTCAGCGCCGTGCCTCGGTTGTGACCGCCGCCACTGTGTCCGTCGGGAGATCAGTGCCGTGCCTCGGTTGTGACCGCCGCCACTGTGTCCGTCAGGAACTCAGCGCCGTGCCTCGGTTGTGACCGCCGCCGCCGTGTCCTTCAGGAGCTTAGCGCCGTGCCTCGGTTGTGACCGCCGCCGTGTCCGTCAGAAGCTCAGCGACGTGCCTCGGTTGTGACCGCCGCCGCTGTGTCCGTCAGGAGCTGAGCGCCGTGCTGCTGCCGCTGATCGAGCAGCGGCTCGCCTCGGAGCTGGCGGCCGGCGCGCTGCAGTGTATGAAGTGCGCGGCCGAGTTCTCGGACGGCCTGGCCCGCACTGCTGCCGCCCAGCAGGACAGCCGAAACGGTACGACAGGGCGCCGGCGCTACCACGCACTAACCCGCGCTTCCTACACACGGCCCGGGGTCCTTACGTTATAAAAAGTAGGCAGCGTTCGGACGATTAGGCAGATTTATGGAAGCCATCGCTCCCACATCCAGCTTTCGAGCATGGTGAGTGAAATTTCCAGAGAGTAATGCCAGGTATTTGAAATATACGCTTCTTACTGCAAACGTTTAGGTGCGGACTACGCCCGTCAGAAGCATATCACAATGCCTGCGCCTCATTCCATCGCCACCATGCGAGGCTTCGTTGGCTGGTGCGTCCTGGGCGGCTCTGTGGAGGCCGTCAGGTGGTGACGCGCTGGTGCTGCTGGTCGTGCACCAGCGACCGGTCCGCCGTCACCCGCTGACTGTTGCCGGTGCGTCTGTGCGCAGGCCGGTTCCGCCACGTGCAGACGTGTCCCAACTGCGGCTCCAACATGATCATCCGGGCCGAGAAGGTGTCGCACCCCAACGCCGAGGTGGCCCGGTCACCCGGCACCCTGGCGTGAGTACTGGTGGGGGTGGCGCCCGGACAGGGCGTACCCCGTGCGAGCAGGGGGTGAGCCCGCTCACTCAGCGAGGCTAGTTTGCTAAGTTGTTGGCCTGGTTTGCTGAGTTGAGTTCGTCGTGCTGGTGGTGCGCGCGGCTTTTGTGCGCCACTTGGCTCGATAAGGGCTAACGACTTTGTAATTTTGGAGTTCCGCTCTTTGAAATAGCTGAGCATTGCTTATGTCTAAGTTCGGTTTTAAAGTTCTGCCATGAAGCGATTAGTATGAATGCGATAAATTCACTTGACCTTTGCCGTTTCAACTGGTTTTATTCATCAGGACGGTTTGTTTGGAACACCCGTCACAGACTTGCTTCAGTTATGATCGCCTCCCTCTGCAGTACGGTAAATATTAAACTCCTCTCCAGGCAAAACTCTTCAAGAAAAGGCATGCTGAAAAAGAGGCTGAGCAGCAAGAAGATTGTGGCCAGCACTCCCAGGCACATGATGAACCTGAGAACCGAAAGTGAGTGATCCACAGGCCGTGCTTCCCCTTCCTGTTCGTCCACGGGTCTTGCACGCCGTAG